GCTGCTGCCCGCCCGTCCGTCCCCCGAGCACTTGCTCTCGCCAGAGACAAGAGTGAAGGGCACATGGCAGCTAGGTGGCTACGCACGTGCTCCATGAGGTAATTGAGATCTCTGTGGTAGATTTCGCTATAGCAGCAGTTGTGGGAGACAACAGCCTCGGTATAACAGTGGTAACGTATTACTTATAGAATATTCTGAATAGGAAAATTCTACAAGTATTGTGTGTGAATGGTTACATCGTCCATGTTCCTGTGTCATGTATTGTGTGTGAATGGTTACATCATCCATGTTCCTGTGTCATGTATTGTGTGTGAATGGTTACATCATCCATGTTCCCTGTGTTGTCATGTATTGTGTGTGAATGGTTACATCATCCATGTTCCATGTGTCATGTATTGTGTGTGAATGGTTACATCATCCATGTTCCTCTGTCATGTATTGTGTGTGAACGGTTACATCGTCCATGTTCCTGTGTCATGTATTGTATGTGAACGGTTACATGGTCCATGTTCCATGTGTCATGTATTGTGTGTGAACAGTTACATCATCCATGTTCCTCTGTCATGTATTGTGTGTTAACGGTTACATCGTCCATGTTCCTGTGTCATGTATTGTGTGTGAATGGTTACATCGTCTATGTCCCCTGTGTCATGTATTGTGTGTGAATGGTTACATCATCCATGTTCCTGTGTCATGTATTGTGTGTGAACAGTTACATCATCCATGTTCCTCTGTCATGTATTGTCTGTGAATGGTTACATCATCCATGTTCCCTGTGTCATGTATTGTGTGTGAATGGTTACATCATCCATGTTCCTGTATCATGTATTGTGTGTGAATGGTTACATCGTCCATGTTCCTGTATCATGTATTGTCTGTGAATGGTTACATCATCCATGTTCCTGTATCATGTATTGTGTGTGAATGGTTACATCGTCCATGTTCCTGTATCATGTATTGTCTGTGAATGGTTACATCATCCATGTTCCCTGTGTCATGTATTGTGTGTGACGGTTACATCGTCCATGTTCCTGTGTTGTCATGTATTGTGTGTGACGGTTACATCATCCATGTTCCTCTGTCATGTATTGTGTGTGAATGGTTACATCGTCTATGTCCCCTGTGTCATGTATTGTGTGTGACGGTTACATCGTCCATGTTCCTGTGTTGTCATGTATTGTCTGTGAATGGTTACATCGTCCATGTTCCTGTATCATGTATTGTGTGTGAATGGTTACATCATCCATGTTCCCTGTGTCATGTATTGTGTGTGACGGTTACATCGTCCATGTTCCTGTGTTGTCATGTATTGTCTGTGAATGGTTACATCGTCCATGTTCCTGTATCATGTATTGTCTGTGAATGGTTACATCATCCATGTTCCCTGTGTCATGTATTGTGTGTGACGGTTACATCGTCCATGTTCCTGTGTTGTCATGTATTGTGTGTGAATGGTTACATCGTCCATGTTCCTCTGTCATGTATTGTCTGTGAATGGTTACATCATCCATGTTCCCTGTGTCATGTATTGTGTGTTAACGGTTACATCGTCCATATTCCTGTGTTGTCATGTATTGTGTGTGAATGGTTACATCATCCATGTTCCTGTGTCATGTATTGTGTGTGAATGGTTACATCGTCTATGTCCCCTGTATCATGTATTGTGTGTTAACGGTTACATCACCCATGTTCCTCTGTCATGTATTGTGTGTGAACGGTTACATCATCCATGTTCCTGTGTTGTCATGTATTGTCTGTGAATGGTTACATCATCCATGTTCCCTGTGTCATGTATTGTGTGTTAACGGTTACATCGTCCATGTTCCTGTGTTGTCATGTATTGTGTGTGAATGGTTACATCGTCCATGTTCCTGTGTCATGTATTGTGTGTGAACGGTTACATCACCCATGTTCCTGTGTCATGTATTGTGTGTGAATGGTTACATCATCCATGTTCCTGTATCATGTATTGTGTGTGAACAGTTACATCATCCATGTTCCTCTGTCATGTATTGTGTGTGAATGGTTACATCATCCATGTTCCTCTGTCATGTATTGTGTGTGAACGGTTACATCATCCATGTTCCTCTGTCATGTATTGTGTGTGAACGGTTACATCATCCATGTTCCTCTGTCATGTATTGTGTGTTAACGGTTACATCATCCATGTTCCTCTGTCATGTATTGTGTGTGAACGGTTACATCGTCCATGTTCCATGTGTCATGTATTGTGTGTGAATGGTTACATCATCCATGTTCCTCTGTCATGTATTGTGTGTGAACGGTTACATCGTCCATGTTCCATGTGTCATGTATTGTGTGTGAACGGTTACATCATCCATGTTCCTCTGTCATGTATTGTGTGTGAACGGTTACATCGTCCATGTTCCATGTGTCATGTATTGTGTGTGAATGGTTACATCATCCATGTTCCTCTGTCATGTATTGTGTGTGAACGGTTACATCGTCCATGTTCCATGTGTCATGTATTGTGTGTGAACGGTTACATCATCCATGTTCCTGTGTTGTCATGTATTGTGTGTGAACAGTTACATCATCCATGTTCCTCTGTCATGTATTGTGTGTGACGGTTACATCACCCATGTTCCTCTGTCATGTATTGTGTGTGAACGGTTACATCATCCATGTTCCTGTATCATGTATTGTGTGTGACGGTTACATCATCCATGTTCCTGTGTTGTCATGTATTGTGTGTGAACGGTTACATCATCCATGTTCCTGTGTCATGTATTGTGTGTGAACGGTTACATCGTCCATGTTCCATGTGTCATGTATTGTGTGTGAATGGTTACATCATCCATGTTCCTCTGTCATGTATTGTGTGTGAATGGTTACATCATCCATGTTCCTGTATCATGTATTGTGTGTGACGGTTACATCGTCCATGTTCCTGTGTTGTCATGTATTGTGTTTGAATGGTTACATCGTCCATGTTCCTGTATCATGTATTGTGTGTGAATGGTTACATCATCCATGTTCCTGTATCATGTATTGTGTGTGAATGGTTACATCATCCATGTTCCTCTGTCATGTATTGTGTGTGACGGTTACATCGTCCATGTTCCTGTGTTGTCATGTATTGTGTGTGAATGGTTACATCGTCCATGTTCCTGTATCATGTATTGTGTGTGAATGGTTACATCATCCATGTTCCTGTATCATGTATTGTGTGTGACGGTTACATCGTCCATGTTCCTGTGTTGTCATGTATTGTGTGTGAATGGTTACATCGTCCATGTTCCTCTGTCATGTATTGTGTGTGAATGGTTACATCGTCCATGTTCCTCTGTCATGTATTGTGTGTGAATGGTTACATCATCCATGTTCCCTGTGTCATGTATTGTATGTGAACGGTTACATCGTCCATGTTCCCTGTGTCATGTATTGTGTGTGAATGGTTACATCACCCATGTTCCTCTGTCATGTATTGTGTGTTAACGGTTACATCATCCATGTTCCTCTGTCATGTATTGTGTGTGACGGTTACATCACCCATGTTCCTCTGTCATGTATTGTGTGTGAATGGTTACATCATCCATGTTCCTGTGTCATGTATTGTATGTGAACGGTTACATCACCCATGTTCCTCTGTCATGTATTGTGTGTGAATGGTTACATCGTCCATGTTCCTGTGTCATGTATTGTGTGTGACGGTTACATCACCCATGTTCCTCTGTCATGTATTGTGTGTGAATGGTTACATCATCCATGTTCCTGTGTCATGTATTGTATGTGAACGGTTACATCGTCCATGTTCCCTGTGTCATGTATTGTGTGTGAATGGTTACATCACCCATGTTCCTCTGTCATGTATTGTCTGTGAACGGTTACATCATCCATGTTCCTCTGTCATGTATTGTTTGTGAATGGTTACATCACCCATGTTCCTCTGTCATGTATTGTCTGTGACGGTTACATCGTCCATGTTCCCTGTGTCATGTATTGTGTGTGAATGGTTACATCACCCATGTTCCTCTGTCATGTATTGTGTGTGAACGGTTACATCATCCATGTTCCTCTGTCATGTATTGTGTGTGAACGGTTACATCATCCATGTTCCTCTGTCATGTATTGTGTGTGAATGGTTACATCACCCATGTTCCTCTGTCATGTATTGTGTGTGACGGTTACATCGTCCATGTTCCTGTGTTGTCATGTATTGTGTGTGAACGGTTACATCATCCATGTTCCCTGTGTCATGTATTGTATGTGAACGGTTACATCGTCCATGTTACCTGTGTCATGTATTGTATGTGAACGGTTACATCATCCATGTTCCCTGTGTCATGTATTGTATGTGAACGGTTACATCGTCCATGTTCCTGTGTTGTCATGTATTGTATGTGAACGGTTACATCGTCCATGTTCCCTCTGTCATGTATTGTGTGTGAACGGTTACATCATCCATGTTCCTCTGTCATGTATTGTATGTGAACGGTTACATCGTCCAGGTTCCCTGTGTCATGTATTGTGTGTGAACGGTTACATCATCCATGTTCCTGTGTCATGTATTGTGTGTGAATGGTTACATCATCCATGTTCCTCTGTCATGTATTGTGTGTGAATGGTTACATCATCCATGTTCCTGTGTCATGTATTGTGTGTGACGGTTACATCACCCATGTTCCTCTGTCATGTATTGTGTGTGACGGTTACATCATCCATGTTCCTCTGTCATGTATTGTGTGTGAATGGTTACATCATCCATGTTCCTGTGTCATGTATTGTGTGTGACGGTTACATCACCCATGTTCCTCTGTCATGTATTGTGTGTGACGGTTACATCATCCATGTTCCTCTGTCATGTATTGTGTGTGAATGGTTACATCATCCATGTTCCTCTGTCATGTATTGTGTGTGAATGGTTACATCATCCATGTTCCCTGTGTTGTCATGTATTGTGTGTGAACGGTTACATCATCCATTTTCCCTGTGTTGTCATGTATTGTGTGTGACGGTTACATCATCTGGGTTCTCAGTGAAGCGGTGTCCCCTGGCCCCCACAGTGCCCCATGCTGTGTATCGGTATCGATCCTACCCTCCTGTCGTCGGGGAGGGTTCCCAGATCCTCTACATCTGCAACGCAGGCTATGAGTTCGTCGACCCCAGCGCCTCCAATCTGACCTGTCACCGGGGTGCATGGGTTGGACCCATTCCTCGCTGCGGTCAGTATTCACTTTCATTTACAAGCACATATTCTTCATATATTGTTGGTCATTTTGAGGCCACAGAAATGCTTTTTGATGTCTTTCTTCAAGCTTTACATCTACCACCAAGTTTGTTTCTTCTCAAGAGTTTACATGCTCAAGATTAGTTAACAAGCCACTCTGATGAATCTGGAGTGTTGCTAACTGTGGCGCTAAGCAACATTCACTCTAACCGGTCATGTTTAACGAGTCGTACCAGTGTTCACCAACATCTGACATGTTCCAGAGTTGTAGTCCCAGATCATCAACAAAGAACTAGCTGTCATATTGTAAGCATTAACTCATTAAGATTAACTTAGAGATGCATTAACTCATTGGGCTGTTTTCTGTCATTGTTTCAGTTAAGATGCAGACTTGTCAATCCCCACCCGATATAAATGCTGGCTACTTCACAAACTCATTGACCACGAAGAACATCTTTGGCAGCTACTACATCGGGTCAAAGGTGACCTACAAGTGCCACGATGGCTTCCAGCTGATGGGGTACCAGGTGTTGGAGTGTCTCAGCTCCAGCACCTGGTCCAGCATCCCGCCCCAGTGTCTCCCTGCTGGAGGTCAGTCATGCTTACACTGCCCTCTAGCCTCACCCACCACTCCTCCCCTCCCCCCTCCAAACCAGTTCTCCCCTGTTGAAGGTCAGTCATGTTTACTCTGCCTCCTAGTCTTACACCCCCCACCAATACCCCCCTCTCAGTGTCTCCCTGTCAGAGATCAGTCACACTTACTCCGCCCTCTAGTCTTACACCCCCCACTATTACCCCCCTCTCAGTGTCTCCCTGTCAGAGATCAGTCACACTTACTCTGCCCTCTAGTCTTACACCCCCCACTATTACCCCCCTCTCAGTGTCTCCCTGTCAGAGGTCAGTCACACTTACTCTGCCCTCTTGTTTTACACCCCCCACCAGTACCCCCCTCTAAGTGTCTCCCTGTCAGAGATCAGTCACACTTACCCTGCCCTCTAGCCTCACCTACCCCCACCAGTACCCCCTCTCAGTGTCTCCCTGTCGGAGGTCAGTCACACTTTCTCTGCCCTCTAGCCTCACCTACCCCCACCAGTACCCCCTCTCAGTGTCTCCCTGTCAGAGGTCAGTCACACTTACTCTGTCCTCTAGCCTCACCTACCCCCACCAGTACCCCCTCTCAGTGTCTCCCTATTGGAGGTCAGTCACACTTACTCTGCCCTCTAGTCTTACACCCCCCACCAATACTCCCCTCTCAGTGTCTCCCTGTCGGAGGTCAGTCACACTTACTCTGTCCTCGAGCCTCACCTACCCCCACCAGTACCCCCTCTCAGTGTCTCCCTGTGAGAGGTCAGTCACACTTACTCTGCCCTCTAGTTTTACACCCCCCACCAATACTCCCCTCTCAGTGTCTGCCTGTCGGAGGTCAGTCAGACTTACTCTGTCCTCTAGCCTCACCTACACCCACCAGTACCCCCTCTCAGTGTCTCCCTGTCAGAGGTCAGTCACACTTACTCTGCCCTCTAGTTTTACACCCCCCACCAATACTCCCCTCTCAGTGTCTGCCTGTCGGAGGTCAGTCACACTTACTCTGTCCTCTAGCCTCACCTACCCCCACCAGTACCCCCTCTCAGTGTCTCCCTGTCGGAGGTCAGTCACACTTACTCTGTCCTCTAGCCTCACCTACTCTTAATCAAAACTTATGTCATTATCTACAATTTGTTATGTTTTTGTTTCATTTTCTCACAGAAACAAGTTTCTACTGTCAAAATATGAGGAATATTAATTACGGTCACTGCAAGTGTCATCAGGAGACGAACACCGACCTTCAACTGTGCCAGCCGTTCTACCGCGGGGTGGAGGTCGAGTGTGGGTGCAAAACTGGCTACCACCTGGAGGGTGCGTCACTCCTCACCTGTGTCCAGAGCACCTCCAACCCGATGATTGGCACCTGGGACCATGAGATGCCCTACTGTGTTCCAGGTATACCATATATACAGGCTACAAGGTTGTTGTTATTGTTGCGCAGAAAACATTGCATTTTAGCCTGCAAATAATCCTTCTTTTTCAAAGATACAGTATTTTGAACCATCAATATAAGTGGACATAAGCAGTGTGAAAGATTCTGAAATGAAAGTCACTACACTAGGAGAAGAGTAAATACAGTGGAATCTGTCCAATTCAGACTCGGGTGGGAACGGTAAAAAGGTCTGGTTCACGGTATTGTCCGGATTATACAGAGTTCAAAAAGTTCCACTGAAGACAATACAAAAAGCAATGATCATTCATCTTTATTCACCTGCACATTTCTTGTACATGAAATAATGACATTAGATACACATTAAAACATTCTTAACTTGAAAAAGTCTTGGAGAACGTTTCACCATTGAGGTATCATTCACTGTGGCAAAATGGCGAACTACTGCTGATAGTCTTCACTACATTTAAGTATATCCGTGACAACCTGCTTACTTCTTCTCGGGTAAACACTTTCTGCTTTGGTTTTTGCACTGATTTAAATTACTTAATATAAAGCAACATTCTTAGCAAGTGTATGTTCGATATGCTTTTTCCATGCCACTCCCTTGGCGATTACAATTGATAACGATAAGCTGTGTTTACCGTTATTTATTTACATGCTCATGACGCCGAGTTAATTTAATTAAGCTGAGTTTCTCATCAACAGGTGAGTAAATTCTCAATTAGCTTAGCTGACAACAAAGTGTTAAGATCAATACGACTACATGCAGGATTAGCATTGTTGTTTTAGCTGACAATGACTGAGCTTACTTTAAACTGGGAGAACATTCGCTTCGTTCCAGGTCTGACAGAACCATGTGACAACCATTTCTGTTTTATGTAACTTAATATTGTTAATTAATATGATCAGTCTGTGATTGTGAAACTGTCTTTGACTCAGTTGACCCTGGAGATGTGGGGCCGGTGGACACTTATTCAACAGGCGACATCACAGACATGCGGAGTCACGTCAGCACACTGGTCATTGTCATAGCCACTGCTTGCAGTGTCTTGGGAGTACTGCTTCTTATCATGGTCATTGTTGTGTTTCGACGCCGCAAGCCACGCCCACACCTGTTCCATCCTGGCACCACCCCCCTCCCTTACTCACGTGTTCACAGCGACTCCATAGATGAGCATGACAGGCTGGCGCTTATGGCATATGCTGACGCAACGCGAGTCCATCTCCCAACTTACGACGAGGCCACGTCGGGGCACTGCAGGCCAAGTGTAAATCACCAGCCCTCACAGCTGCCACAAGTGAACCCTACCACTGAATTCAGACCACTTCCCAGCATTCCACCAACACTGCGCACCAACACTGCCGTTGCCGGGGACAACACAAACAGGCATTCAACAGTGACAACAAGCACCATCAACAGAGATGGAACATCTGAGATATTTGGTTCACTAGATACAGTCAACGTGAGCATGAGTGATGCCTCAACTTCTGTTACTGTGGAAACGTATGACAGTGGTACCTCCATGAGATCTATAGCTTCCCAAGAGGCGACTGCGGGCAGTTTCACCGCATCAGATGATAACCTGGCAAATGAGGGTAAGTTACCGCAAGCAGCATAGCAGATTTGTTAACAATGTAGATACAGAAGATTGTATGTACTACAGTCTCCTACATGAGTCAGTAAGTCTCCATTGTATAAAGATAAATATCCTTGACCTATTCTCCAACATAGGTCTATTTTGAGTCTGATTTTCAATGACACGACACTGTAACATTGTCTTCAGGGACAAGTTTGTTTAGGTTTAGACCCTTTATCGTATTCATTGTATATCCCATCTTCCACAGTGTCATTTTCATTAATTCGCAAGTTTCCTGTCATCACATTGTTTTGCAAACAAATGGAACAAATGGCATGAATTGGCCAATGTGAGTGCTTTAGTATATTATCTCTGTATTATTTCTACTGTGTTCCAGATGTACCACTGCTGGAGAATGCTGGAGAAAACAACAGTGACACATCCAGCGAGATCCTACTCACCAATCAGGAACAGAAGGAGGAGTAGTTGCCATGGCAACCTGTGGTGTGTCTGAGATGTACATAGCCTCCCACTGAGTGACAGCTGGTTGAGTGTGTGTGACAGCAGACAGGCTGTTATGTGTGAAATGTTCAAGACTGTGTCAGACACTTGATACAGCCAAGTGCGAAATCAGCATATACAGTTTTGTGTATTGTAAGTTACAGTGAAACGGGTGATAACAGAACTACTTTGTTTACCATTTGTTTACCACAGTGAAGAAGCAAACATGGTTTGAATGTGTAATTAGACTTCACCAAGATGTCTGTTGCATTTGACATACAGTATGCACTAGACCATCAGCTTCTTGTGTTATTATGTGCTACACTCGATATAGACTCAGGACTGGGGACTTACCCTGGGAGCAGGGAGCTTGTTCTTCTCCAATTGCATGATGATAGTTGTGACAGTAAGGTGAAGGTGAGTGAAAGGAAGGGTATGTTCCCAACACAAGCATGTGTCACACTACTATACTGCCTGGGAGGTTATACATAGGACTGACTTTACAACTTTCAACTCGGCAGTACTCATACGTAGTGGATGGTCTGAAATTAATGTCATCAACATTTTGAAGTACAGAAAAGGTCATTTTAACAATATATGCATAATGTTCCAGTAGATAATGTTCTATTTGATAGAGGGTAAGTGATCTCCTCAAGAACAAGAAGGTTGTATACATTCAGCATACGTCAGGTATCTATATAAGTCATAGTTCAAATGATCATCATTTCTCTCTCGGCCATGTCATGTCAGGTAGTGGAAACATGTAAAGGTTTAATCTCAATATTTCTATTGGAGGAAAGGAAACCATTGTAAAAAAATCCATGATGATATGTCGGAACCACATGACTTCAGTGGCTTCATGCCGCTTCCACTTATTGTAATTCTCAACAAAAACACCTGTGTCAGTGTTTGTTTGTTTTGTTCATGATCATGTACAACTTGTCCAACCTCTATATAGATAGGACTAGACCATGTAGACTGTGGTGAATCATATCCTTCAGATGCTTCATTCTGTCAAGGGAATACAGTCACAGTAAACCACAATCTTGTCCTGTGTACTTAAGTACCTCTCTACTTGAGAATCTGACAACCCTAGGAGGTTGCCTCAGGTGGACCCAGAATGAAATTTGACCACTTGGTCGAAGTAAAGAATGCGTAAGGTCAATCAGGTATAAGTTTTTTGTAACAATGGGGATTCCTTTCTTTACACCTCAATTTTAACAAAAGAAACCTTATGCTTTTGATATAGTACACCCTTTTGGGTGTAGACAGGCTCAGGAACAACAGGATGTATAAAATATCCACAAAGATATAATAACACAGCCTCTTTTATTTTGCAAGTGCCCGTTTATTCTATTTTGTGTACCGAGATACAGAAATCAGAAATACTGCTCTGAATTTTTCACAGGCTCATACTGAGAATTTAAAAAACTTTGATTGGCTGATTGGAATATTCATCTGATGCTCGTCTATGGAGGGTCTGTCAGAAGTTCTCACAGAGAGATATTGTGTAGCAGTAATATCCGAGGGCAGGTGCCCACTTCCCTTTGGGCAGCAATGGAGGTAGACAGGTAAACCCTGCAGGTGACCACCAGCTGACACTTGATTTGTAATGGTGTACCCAACAAGGGAACAAAGCATTTGCATAATCATTCTCAGATCTGTAGTAAATTTAGGCCCCAGAAGAATTTCTCACAGTATATTGCAGATGGGTTTGTAGGATATTAAATGTACCGGTAAATAAGGCTTCAAACACATTGGCCATGTTATTTATCATTTTACATTTATAATGATTTTTGGTGTTATTCACTGAAACATGAGACATCTTGCAAGGAGTCTGATCTGCAAAATTGATTATTCAGTATATTTAGACTACATGGTGTGTGGTGATAATTTGGGCATTGAAGAAGTGATGGTTGGTGAAGATATCTCCCTATTACTCATTACCATATTATATGGACAACTGGACCTCATTGTCATGTTTACTGCAGAAAAATCAAAAGCCTTCTGAAGCACAATTTTGTTACATTCCTGTTCTTGTTTGTGTCAATTCTTATGCTCTTCGGCCAGTGTTTGTTATATTGTGGAGATGCTGACTTCCTTCCCAAGGTCAGTCTCAGTGCCAGTGTCTGAGATTGGCTGGGAGTAGGAGTTATATTAGTTTTATAGTGCTCACAATCATATTAGATGTTGCAGCTACACACAGACCGTGGTCTCGGATCTCCAGTTCCACTACACACAGACCATGGTCTCGGATCTTCAGTTCCACTACACACAGACCATGGTCTCGGATCTTCAGTTCCGCCACACAGACCATGGTCTTGGATCTACAGTTTCGCTACAACACAGACCATGGTCTTGTATCTTCAGTTCCACAACACACAGACCATGGTCTCGGATCTACAGTTCCACTACACAGACCATGGTCTCGGATCTACAGTTCTTCTACACACAGACCATGGTCTCGTATCTTCAGTTCCACTACACACAGACCATGGTCTCGTATCTTCAGTTCCACTACACACAGATCATGGTCTTGTATCTGCAGTTACACTACACACCAACCTCGTCTGAGGTCTACAGCTCCGGTACACCGACCATGGTCTCGGATCTACAGTTCCGCCACACAGACCATGGTCTCGGATCTACAGTTCCACTACACAGACCTTGGTCTTGGATCTACAGTTTCGCTACAACACAGACCATGGTCTTGTATCTTCAGTTCCACAACACACAGACCATGGTCTCGGATCTACAGTTCCACTACACAGACCATGGTCTCGGATCTACAGTTCTGCTACACACAGACCATGGTCTCGTATCTTCAGTTCCACTACACACAGACCATGGTCTCGTATCTTCAGTTCCACTACACACAGATCATGGTCTCGGATCTACGGTTCCACTACACAGACCGTGGTCTCGGATCTACAGTTCCACTACACACAGACCATAGTCTCAGAAGTACAGTTCTGCTACTTACAGACCATGGTCTTGGATCTACAGTTCTGCTACACACAGACCATGGTCTGGGATCTACAGTTCCACTACACACAGACCATGGTCTCAAATCTACAGTTCTGCTACACACAGACCATGGTCTCGGATCTACAGTTCTGCTACACACAGACCATTGCCTTTGATCTACAGTTCTGTTACACAGAGACCATGGTCTGGGATCTACAGTTCCACTACACACAGACCATGGTCCTAGATCTACAGTTCTGCTACACACAGACCATGTTCTAGGATCTACAGTTCTGCTACACACAGACCATGGTCTCATATCTTCAGTTCTGCTACACACTGACCTTGGTCTCGTATCTTCAGTTCAGCTACTCACAGACCTTGTTCTTGTAACTTCAGTTCAGCAAATCACAGACCATGGTCTCATATCTTCAGTTCAGCTACTCACAGACCTTGGTCTCGTATCTTCGGTTCAGCTACACACAGACCTTGGTCTCGTATCTTCGGTTCAGCTACACACAGACCTTGGTCTCGTATCTTCAGTTCAGCCACTCACAGACCTTGGTCTCGTATCTTCGGTTCAGCTACACACAGACCTTGGTCTCGTATCTTCGGTTCAGCTACACACAGACCTTGGTCTCGTATCTTCGGTTCAGCTACTCACAGACCTTGGTCTCGTATCTTCGGTTCAGCTACTCACAGACCTTGGTCTCGTATCTTCAGTTCAGCCACTCACAGACCTTGGTCTCGTATCTTCAGTTCAGCTACACACAGACCTTGGTCTCGTATCTTCGGTTCAGCTACTCACAGACCTTGGTCTCGTATCTTCAGTTCAGCCACTCACAGACCTTGGTCTCATATCTTCAGTTCAGCTACACACAGACCTTGGTCTCGTATCTTCAGTTCAGCTACTCACAGACCTTGGTCTCGTATCTTCAGTTCAGCTACACACAGACCTTGGTCTTGTATCTTCAGTTCAGCTACTCACAGACCTTGGTCTCTTATCTTCAGTTCATCTAAGCACAGACCTTGGTCTCGTATCTTCGGTTCAGCTACACACAGACCTTGGTCTCGTATCTTTAGTTCAGCTACACACAGAGCTTGGTCTCGTATCTTCGGTTCAGCTACTCACAGACCTTGGTCTCGTATCTTCAGTTCAGCTAGTCATAGACCTTGGCCTCGTATCTTCAGTTCAGCTACTCACAGACCTTGGTCTCGTATCTTCAGTTCAGCTACTCACAGACCTTGGTCTCGTATCTTCAGTTCAGCTACTCACAGACCTTGGTCTCGTATCTTCAGTTCAGCTACTCACAGACCTTGGTCTCGTATCTTCGGTTCAGCTACTCACAGACCTTGGTCTCGTATCTTCGGTTCAGCTACTCACAGACCTTGGTCTCGTATCTTCGGTTCAGCTACTCACAGACCTTTGTCTCGTATCTTCGGTTCAGCTACTCACAGACCTTGGTCTCGTATCTTCGGTTCAGCTACTCACAGACCTTGGTCTCGTATCTTCGGTTCAGCTACTCACAGACCTTGGTCTCGTATCTTCGGTTCAGCTACTCACAGACCTTTGTCTCGTATCTTCAGTTCAGCTACTCACAGACCTTGATCTCGTATCTTCGGTTCAGCTACTCACAGACCTTGGTCTCGTATCTTCAGTTCAGCTACTCACAGACCTTGGTCTCGTATCTTCAGTTCAGCTACTCACAGACCTTGGTCTCGTATCTTCGGTTCAGCTTCTCACAGACCTTGGTCTCGTATCTTCGTTTCTTCTCCTCACAGACCTTGGTCTCGTATCTTCAGTTCAGCTACAACACACAATTGCCTTGGTATACACACTGGCTGTATTTATGATGTTTTCTGGTAGTCTCTCCGCATGTTGAACTGTTGTGCTCTAACGTCATCAAATCAGTGTATCTGCCAATGTGAAGCCGGGAATCATTGACTAAAGACCTAATTGTCAAAAATGCAGCATTATGTATCAAGCAAGAAGGGAAGCAATTAAGCAATTTGCAGTATGTCGTATAGTGCATATGGAAGAAGAAGGGATTAATGCTGTAATGTTCTTTAACCTATCACAATCAGCAGTATTCAAGTGCTTTTTCATCTCGTCATCAATGGAATGTCACTGCATGTTCTCATTGGTATGCAAAAACATCACACTAACCTATGGATATGATTTCTTAAAAATATATTTAAAAGCGGTTAAATTATTATCAAATGTTTTTATCCTTCAATGTGAAAATGTTAACCTTAATGATTTGCCTGTATGCCCCTAAGGTAAAGTGTGAATTTGGTGTTGCAGTTAGGAAGTGCACCTAACGCAACACAAATCACACAAACTTCCTTCTTTGTTCCTTTGGACATTTAGAGTGGATAGTACAGAGAGATATTTTTCTAAGAAAGGTTAAATACTTTAACTACAAACCAGCAGACATTCTTAACATGTGTCTGTAGAACACTCTAACACCTGGGAACTCATATTTTCACTCATAAAAAACAAAATGATTTTCATCATTTTCAAATATAAACAGCAAACAATTTTATATTTGTTTATTTGTACATATGAAGGTACAGCAACTCTGGCTAGATAATTATTATGAAGTATGTAGCAGTATGTATGAAGTATGTAGTACATATGACTTTACTTGAGATTCTGGAGCCTGGAAATTTAAATGTGGAGTAGTTATGATGTGTGAAATATCAGTCTTTTCACTTACCTTAAGATGCTGGGTAAAATTAGTCACTTATTTATCTGAATCAAATATAGGCATGATTTATGATCCATGTGCGTTGGTGTGTAATCTGTCATATTGAGTTCTCCAAGGTAAAACGAGGGACCACTCTAAGGATGCTCTCCGTATAATCAGTAATGTTCAATGTTCAGTGTTTCATCATTGCTGCCTGGTTGATTATGTGTACCAAATTTGTTATAAATAATATAGATATTACTTATTTTACAGAAGATGTTTCTTGTCATGATGTTTATGTCTTGTGTGCTTTTTATTACTTACCCTCTACATGTTTGTCAGACAAGTATTTATTGTCTTTGATGACATGGAATGTTGATGTGCAGTCTTATCCCAGGGGAGGTCTCTGTAAGGCCACAATCCCTCAGTAAGTGTTACGAGGGTCTGCTGTTCCCCAGGTGCCGCAGACTGTGATGGCCCCTCCCTTCTGAAGATGTGTCCAGTACAGGCTATTTATTGAACACTGTGTGGCAGTGGTACCATGTTGTATACAGTCATCACATGGCTTACTCATAGTACATGTAGTACCAGGCTAGCAATGACACAAATGAAGGAAGTGCAATGTTTTCCAGTGTACAGACTAGTTCCTGAAATGCTGTTAATACTGTGTAAGCTGTTTGTGATAGATAATGGTACGAAGTGTTGATGTCCGCGTCGGGATTCTGACAGGCCAGTTGGAGTACTAAGTGATACTTTCCAAGGTTAACATCGAAATAGATTTTAATACTTTGTTCCTGTTTTTTATGTATATATAAAACTGGATGCTCTGTATGCATAGTATGTAAGAAACTGAAAGTTACACAACTCAACAGTTCCCCTCTTTCCTCACTTTTCATCTCAAGTCATACCAATACAGGAATAGAGGTTGTCCCATCTTTGAAATCAAATTAGGAATGAGTTTTTACGCTATCCCACCAACCTCCTGTGCTCTTGTGTTCTCCACTGAGTGTGACCGTGCTGCAGAGTGTTGTCAGTGTATGGTCTACGGGAGGTGGGTCTCCTTGTTCCTCACATCCTCCAGATCTGATCAGCACTCTTTGTTCACCTTTACATGTATTAGTGTTTATTTAGATATATTGCCTTTCATTTCTACTTGTCAGTCTTTATAAATGTGATATTTTGTGACGACTTAAGTTTACATGAGGGATGGTTTTGTAAGGTGGTTTAAAATTTTATACTTCAGTATTTAGTATACAAGATTGCTTAGGAAGGAATTTTGTGTTTCTGGAAACATCAGATTTTAAAACAAGGAAGATAGTTTTATCTCATTCCATGTCTCTCCAGGAAAGTGAGAAGTCAGCTGATTAATCATTCTTGTGAACGAAAGGTATTTTACTTGACAAATCTAGATCTGCTCAAGACACACGTCTTCCACATGGCAACTGTTGTATATTGTAGAACAGTAGCTTGCTGTATAAGTAATCAGAATCGCATGTAGCCAATACGTTTTAATGTAGCTTGGTACAACCATACAACAGTGTCTCAGAATATACCATTTCACAATATGCAAACAACATTATTTTAGGTATTATTGAATAACCAAATATAAACTGATCTAATTTGATGCATGTACAAATTTCTACTGTACGGGTAAAATAAGCAAATGAATAGATATTCCTGTTAGTAGAATTCCAGATGTGTCATAAATTCTGAAATTTGTTACTGGATGAAACAAAGGCCCCCTGTGATAGACCTAGAAAATGTTTGTATACATGTTGCTTTGTCTGGTATATGGACATGGTGAAATGCTACTTCCGATCATACAGGCTTTACTCCACACTTCACGGCCACGTATTCCATGGGTAATATTTATGTCTATTTCCTGTGCCTGTGTGTACTTCACCTGTTGTATTGCAGTCCCGTCTACCTGCACAGATGTACATGTAGCCTCTGAGGGTGCCTATCACATTTCTACCCTTTGTTATGCAAATGTTGTCAAGCTTTATTGACGTGCATTTTTATCATTCTAGCCAACCCCCAGCAATACATTCTAATGGTTGTTGAGCATTGTAGTGGACGTTATAGTGTTGACTTCCTCATTTATATATGTAAAATAAATTATGTCATTTTTACATAGTTTTTGTTTTCTGTAATAAGTTTTCAAAAGTGCACCACATTCATGACCATGCATTTAAGAACACTAAAGTCAGTCTTTCACAGATATTGCATTTGATGATAATAGTTTGGGACAATATCTACAAAATAAATGGGTCAATGGGGAGGAGTTCTGATGGTGGTGTTTCCCATCTTTCTAAACAAAATATTCACTTTCCAAGGGGCAAATATGTTGTGGCGAAGGAAATGTTCTGTAAGGTAAATGAAACAAAATGCAGCTTCAAGCATAATTTCGAATAACCCAACCAGAAAATACATCAAGGATATTCTTATAAAACAAACTTTCGTTCACATTTTTCTGGAGCGGGATATATATCATGATATATCAGGATGGCATATAAAAAAGTCCTTGTTTTTAGCTGGATGCAAATTTTGGACCAACTGGATATCTATCTAGAAACCCATAAAAACAGGTCCATAGACTTTGAAAATGGTTTAAGCAAATATAACACCAATGATCATTTGTTTGATTGATCTACCTTTAGATTTGGTGTGGCCTGCAAAGACGAACATGAAAGCTGGTTATTACTGTAGCAATTAACAGGTCTCGAGTTTTGAAATTAAATGTATGTGTAAGCTTGATTTCTTTTATGTAGAGGAAGTGAAAATAATCAATCATTGTCATCCTGCCTACACACTATTACAATATTACATAACGCGAGCACAGATACGAGAACGGGTGCTGCAGTTAACTTATTGTGAAAACACTATACGCTTTGAAGTTTTAAGTACCTTTACTCAATTTAAGCTGAAACGGCCAAACATGGTGCTGTCAGATCACAATTATTCACAGTGGCCTTTCGATGTGTTGCATGCAAGAAGAATGTCAGAAAAAATCAGGGTAGAAAAAAATTCTAGGTAGCCTACATGGAGGATGATGCCATACACAAGTTTGTCAGGAAAATCATGGCACTCCCCTTTCTACCGGCCGCTGACAAAATGCGGATGTTTTTGAAGATAACAGAGCGTGTCCCGGCCACTGGCAAACTGCGTGACCTCATAAACTACTTTCAAGCCCAGTGGATCGCTCATCCCACCTTCTCTCCCCGATCCTGGTCTGTGTTCAACACAGCTGTCAGGACAAACAACTTTGTGGAAGGTAATAATAATACAAATAGTTCAAATACAAATATACACAATAAAAATAAAGTATATTAACGTATCAACAACAAGGTGGGTGAGCAGTCCTGGGGATCTACAGATTGATCTCGGAGCTGTTCCGAGAGGCGAGTCTGTTGCCTCTACAGTCAAGACTGATTCAGGAGGGACGACTCAGGGCGTATGTGCGCGAATCTTCCACATCTCGTCAAGAGGAGATCTTCGGCGTATGGCGAAGATACAAGGATGTTCTGTTGTTCATGGACCAATTTTGTGAAGAGGATGATGATGATGATGACGATGGACATGTGTATATATATATATATATATATATATATATATATATATATATATATATATATATGAACATATTTACTTATCTCTAAAAAGAGGAAATACAATGTAAATCACTAATCAAATACCATGTAAATAAACCCTATATTTACTTATCTCTGAAAAGAGGAAATGTAAATACATCACTAATAAAATACCATGTAAATAAACCCTATATATTACTACAAAAATCGTTGTTATCGTTTCAAAAATGGAGGTGCCGTTTTCGCCCGACCCATAGTAGCCGTTTTCGCCAAATGCGGTGCCGTTTTCGCCAGAGAAATCGGTGACGTTTTGCTGGGGTGCCGTTTTAGCCTGCACCCTACGAGAACAACATCATTTGGTTTGCCGTCACAATCTGAATGACGTCACATGGTCCCAATTGGTTTCATTGCGGTTCACTGTTCAGACGATGTAAACATTCGAGAATACTACTTTTATTTGTTCTTGAATGGTTCCAGCATGAACTTTCATGTATGACAAGGAGATCATGCTTATCTTGTTCACGCGTGTGTGGATTTAGTATTTAACCACATGTCATTTCACCCTTTGGGTAATAAATTGTAATATTACGCTGTGAATATTCAGGACAAGATCCACCAGTTATCTGTCAGCTTTCTCTCAAAGAGGAAGGTAAGTACTGTATTTCAATGGTCTCTAACACTGTGACATGTTGATGATTAATAATGACTGTTTCCTGCAGTTGTACCCGTTGTATGACTTTCGACCATGGAGGTGAGGTGAAATGGGGTTTAACGTCGCGTCCTAGATTATTTCACTTAAAGCCCCACCCTGACTATAAATAGCCCGCAAGGTGGCGGTGTTTCAGTTTCGAACAATGACTGACAATGTAAACACAACCGAGTGTCGGGAGACTTTTTTTGAAAACCATAAGGGAACCAGATCACCATTGACCGTCAAACTTCGTATCAACTTGAATGACAAACCATGGATACAACAAATGGCTCCATATCAAGATATAAGTCAATAGATTTTCTGTAGTTTTATCATAAAAAAATCTTATCGATCGTGTTTGGCGTCTGCATCAATCACAGTGGGCGGAGCTTGTTTACGGTTGCGCTATAAATAGCAAAGCACATGGTCATGTGTACATGTGACACATTCAATGCATTTGTGGTCAAAGTGAATTGTGTTGCATATTTTTTCGGCAGAACAGCAGCAGAACATCAGTTTCGGTTAATGTAACAGTAACGATATCTAAATACGAAATTGACGACGCGATTCTTTGATTTCAATCCGAAAATTACAGATATTTGTTTAGTTTTGGTCATTTGCATTCAACAGTTAGATTTGTGCCACACAATAATCAGTTTATATTTATAAAACCTAAATTATTACACAGATTTTTCAACTAGTGTTTAGGAAGGGGCCTAATTTGAAGCACCAGAAGTTGCGCCAATATTTCTCAGCTTGACTACAATAGATGAATATGTCACGTGTATCAACATAACAATGCACATAAGCAACTGGTAAATAAGTAACGAAATATACTTGATGTTTTGACCTACTGAAGGCGTATCCAGATAATATTGTACTTACGATAAACGAAAAATCCAATACACTTTTCCAAGACAACTTTAATTATGAATTTCCTTTTCTTCACAGAATTTTCACACACAAAACTGAGTTTGATCATTAGATCCACACTTGTCCCATGTATTTTTTGTTCGGGGTATTTGGATACACTTCGCGCACAAGTTTTAAAATATAATCTGAGATCCCTTTCCGGTTTTGTCCACACCAATCCTTCATCTGCTGCAACGTTTATTTCCGTTTCTTCAAGTCCAAGTATCTACGATCTCTCCAAACACTTCGTTTATTTAGCTCAGTCCAGAAGCAATGTGTTCGAATCGACGAATTTCTGCAACATGGTGGCCGCACCATTCCCTAACTGCGATTGCCTGTGCCGTGTCACGCATGGTTGACAAAAGAAATGTGAACATACATATTCGGCTTCCACAATGAAATCTACCTGTGACACTGATTCACTCTGATTATCTCGAACAATTCTTCGTCAAATTAGGCTTCACATGAAAATGTTTTGTTGCTCATATTGAAAACAAGCGAAATTGCAAAGTTCTTGACAGTTGTAAGCAGCAACTCGATGCGCTCATGGGGCGTAGTTGCTAGGAGATCGCGTGGTCAGAAAGGCGACAATAAAAAGTTTTAGAAAGTAATAAAAGAAATGCCCAGTGCAATCCAAAAGTACCATGTACAGGATATTTAAAAAAAATAATATTCACGAAAACAAATCTTTTCTAAAAATGCAAAATAATTTATTAATTTATCCCAAGGTCGTAACCCTGATCACGTGGTGGGTATTTGGAAGGAGGCCGTGTGTATTACATTGTTGAAATCAGCTGCCCAGGAATGTTGAGGCATTGACATTACGACAGATGTTCATCATGGATGGAGAGAAAAATGTATCTGAGAGAAACATTGTTGCTTTGAGCTTCGAGACAAAACATGTGTTAATGCCGAAGTAGCCAGCGACCTGAATGTAAGCTTGATGAAATTAATGTTGAAACCCATTTTCACGCACATGACAGAATTAATGTGAACAAATATTTATCTGAACATCGTTGCGAAGTCTGTGAGGCTGTCCGTATTTGAATATTTTTATCTCCATGACGACGTGAATGTCTTCGTGTCTCAATTTTCCTGCCGCTGTGGAAAATTGCGCACCGATCTAATAAAAGAAATACTACTAGATCTACAATTGCACCGTCATAAAAGAACCAGGTCAACTTTATCTTTGTTCCGTTGTTTATTGAAAATTCGTTTCCAAAGCGAATCGATCTACATCATAAATTAATTCATAGACTAGATTCAAGTACCAAGTGTTGAACCTTTTTTTAAAATGTCATCAAATAACTTACACAATTATTGAAAGACATGTTTTGATAAGTCATATATTTTATTTCGTCCGCCCGGTCTCTGATTAGTTGAGGCTTGAGGGAAGAAACACATACAAAAAATATGGATGGCCTTATGCAAATGACACTTGGCATGCCAATCAACAGGGATCTGGGTCACTGGGACCCGCCAAGTTTCACGGATCGAGTTACTTCGGCATGAGGAGCTTCATCGGACAAGTGAGACTTTGCCAAAATACATTGCTACTGGGAAATGAAAAAACGACAAGAAACTACTTTGATCACTTGAAAATATTTTTGACCATTACCAGGGTTTTTTGTAACACGATCGTTGTCATCCAGATTCCAGATGAGGCAAGACGAACACAACGAAGAAAAACATTGTTGAAATCACCGATTACTGTATATATTGTGAGAAATGCTATTTATAAACTGCAGATATACCGTACACCACAGGAGAGCGATTGGTGCCCCAACACATATTATGTTTCTTCATTTACACTGCTCATGTGCATCACGACAAACGTATTTCGTTCTAGTCCAGAGATCTAGAACTATAATTTGTGTGTTGGATAAATCGTGGACATTCCACGGTATCATCTATGAAGATGTGAAGACGACATGGCAGGTAGGTTTTGAAACCAAAGACGTACGCGTTTGTTGAAAAGTCTTGGAATCGTTTGGTAGATATTTATAGTACCATTAAAACTTACGTCCTTGTTGTCAAATGACCCACGTGGGTGGGTGTTTACATGACGTCACCCGTTTACGCATTAACCAATGAAATGTATGTGTTATCATGACGTCATATTGACCTGTCAAATCACTTGTATAAGCTCCGCCCACTAGAGTGCGGTAGTTACTACCATGACTACCGCAGATGGGGCTTTAAAGGGCAAGTTCACACGGAAATGAACCAATTTTTCTTGTACTTTTTCCACATTAAAAGTGTTAACATAGAAGTGTCATAGACAAAAATATAAAAACATCAAATTTAATTAACATATTTTTTGCATTAAAACGATTTATATTTTTCACATTTACCAAGTGTTCTATTTCCATAACAAAAACACCATGGCTTATGCCCCTTGCAATATGACGTCATTGGTGCCAATTGATAAACATTATGACGTCATCATGCTTTGTTAGAGCCGCTTCACGTGGTGTAGGTACAGTTTTGTGATTCTAGCGTCTCAGATGCCAGCCAGAATTGTGTTATGCTGAGTCACCAGAGTGTGTCGTAGACCCATGTTGTTTTACCGCAAACTGGTCCTTGATATCTTTTGCGTTGAGAATAGACAGGGACCCAGTTGAATTGGCACCAATTACGTCATAATCTAAGGGGGATAACTCAGGCCTATTTCGCTCGTAAAACGAAGGCTTCATAACGGCATATCATTTTAACACTATTGTGAGCTTCCTACTTTCACTGTGAAAAAAAATGAGTGTATATTTTCAAACACAGATACTAACTAGTTCTAAAATTGTGTTTTGTTTAGAAAAAGAAAGAAAGTGATTTTTGCGTGTAACGACGAAGAAAGGAAGGGTGCAAAAGACAAGAGGGAGGAATATGACGAGAGCAAGAAGCGGCCACAACCATGCCACTTAGCCTGACCACCGGATCCATTAGGTTGACCCTTACGCCAGGCAAACATGTTGCTAGGGAGCAAATCTAACCCGGAACCCGACCTGTATAAGACTGGAGCCTGGGCCAGCCATGCATGCGTAGTCGCCAATTTGAAATTAGTGCTGTAAAGCACGAGAAAGCTGCCTTCTGATTGGCTAATGTCGACGTCTTGTCAGTCATTCCATTGGTCGTAATGGGGTGTCCTCAGATCTTTGTTTAGCTGTAGCGAGAACTAAGGTCTGATTTTAATGAGATTGCCGTTTACACACTTGGGGAAGCACACGAAAAGATAGACGTCGCCTGAAACAGCGTTTTAAGCAGTATCATTTTAAAAAAAATGTCTACATGTTAGTATTATATACCCAATAGACTCGAACCAAGAATTAGTCAGCTAATTCAGATTTTATCATTAATTTAACAAAGACGAGAAGATTAATTCATCTAGCTCACAATTGTTACTTGATTTTTGAAACGTATTCTATGGAATTTGTTATGTAAAGATTAACAACAAAGGACTTTTTATGTTTGATTCAACAAAGGGCTAATCTACATCATAATCCACTCTTGTCTGATGTACAATTAGCAGCTGCAGAACATGGAATCAGGGGACGTATGTGCTTAGCCTCGCTACAAGATTAGGGCCAACAATATGTACGTCATTAACCAATAGTGTATAACTACAGCAGTCATAATCAGTTTATTAACCAATACAAAGAAACTAGAAATCAGAATCAGGTCATTAACCAATACTAAGAAACTATAGAAATCAGAATTAGGTCATTAACCGATACTAAGAAACTGTAGAAATCAGCATCAGGTCATTAACCAATACTAAGAAACTGTAGAAATCAGAATCAGGTCATTAACCAATACTAAGAAACTGTAGAAATCAGAATCAGGTCATTAACCGATACTAAGAAACTATAGAAATCAGAATCAGGTCATTAACCAATACTAAGAAACTGTAGAAATCAGAATCAGGTCATTAACCAATACTAAGACACTATAGAAATCAGAATCAGGTCATTAACCAATACAAAAAAACTGTAGAAATCAGAATCAGGTCATTAACCAATATAGAGAAACTATAGAAATCTGAATCAGGTCATTATTCGAAACTAAAAAATCTATAGCAATAAGAATCAGGTCATCAATCAAAACTAAAAAAAACTATAGCAATCGCAATCAGGTCATCAATCAATACTGCGAAACTTTAGCAATCGGTATCGGGTCTAAAAAATCAGAATCGGGTCATTAACCAATACTAAGATACTATAGCAATCAGAATCAGGTCATTAATCGAAACTAAAAACACTTTAGCAAACAGAATCAGGTCATTTACTTAAAAGAGCTGATGATTTAATTTGTTGATGTCAAATAAGTGATAGTTGAGAACATGCTGAAATAATAATTCAACGATTATGGATGATGATGATGATGATGGTGATAGTAACGACGATGATATTGATGAAATGTCAGTGAAATAAGATATTGTTCCGTTTCGATACCTCTCTCTTGATATCATTTCAAGAGGATTAGTGTTAGGGCCAAAGGTCTTAGACCATGATATACCAACATATGGCCTATGCCTTATTGTATTCATCCATTTACAATATTATTGATTTTATTCGAATTCACATAATAACCAAGGACACCATATATACAGGGGGTGCAGGTTATAACTCGCCGACTCTGATTGGGAGGCGCAACTAACTTATTGTGAAAACATCACATGCTATGAAGTAAAATAAATGCATCACACAGAAATTGTAATATTAGAGACGGGGCCCAGCTTAAACGCAATGAATGCTCCCTTTGAGCTCCTTATATAGTTTTCAAACCCTCCGTAGGAGTCGCTCCACTGTTATTCTAACTTGCTAACGCGATGTAGAGAGTAACCGCCATTCTCGAATCATCTGCTAAATCAAGTTTTGACATGTGAATGAGTTTATAAACCAAAACAGTTACTGTTGTTTACCCACGTGTAGACCAGAACAAGTCAGACCTACAGAAAGCACCATGGATAAGCCACAAATTATTGCTCACATCCAGAAGCCTTTGGAATACACTCTTTTCGATGCTAAATGGGTTCCATGTTCTGCTAAGTTCGTGGTAATTGGGGGATTTGCAAGGGGAACAGGGGCAATACAGGTGTATGAAGTATCACATGGCGACGTCAAACTGGTTCACAAGGTAAGATCTAAGGACATAGACTCGGGTAGCAGGTTTGCGTATTTAACCTTTGTATTTTCAATTTCAACTCTTGGTTATAGGCATATTAAGGAATCATTGATTTGTTATCATGGTTATTGCGTCCAAACATTTGTATTAGCTTTTAGAAAACAACTGATGTGGCAGACGAACTTGTATTTGTGGGTAGTTTATTAAAGACAATATGATGTCAAATTATATATTTGAAATGTCTAGAGCTACGAATTTTTGTCCCTTGGGCACGACAGAAACCTATGATTGTGGGTTTGAATCCTGGTTCGACCCAATTATGTTTTTTAGGTTTGTCAGCACCATACGCGTGCTCGTGGGTTTCACCGAAGTGGTAAACATCTGAGACCTGCATCACTTCGGGCTTTCCTCCAACATTAAGCAGACACGCCATGATATAACTGGAATACTGTTAAAACCCAACTCGTTCATTCACTCTACGAATTTTGATTAGGTCCTATGTGTTTTCAGCATGCTGTATAGAGAATTTGGTGATTGTTTAGCAAAGCATGATGCCATGGAATGAACACTGTTTAAGGAATATAATAAGTTACATGTATCTGTGAAATTACATCTTCAATTTCTGTCACTCAGTGCTAATTTTCCTAGGTTGAAAAGGCCAAAACATTTAAATGTTCAACATTTGGAGCATCAACACTGCAGCAACGTTTCCTAGCAACAGGGGATTTTGATGGGAAGATGCAGATGTGGTAAGTAATTATTGCTTTTCATATATCAAGATATCTGTACCATGTCAGTCTGCCAGTAGTCCGAAGCCTGTGTTAAGTAAAATTCTATTCTGTCTAGTAAGCTCAGAAATAATAGTCCATGTCATGACACTATAATCAGATGAAAAATTCTGCTAAGAGCCAAGTTTGGATGAGTAACCTAAAAAGTCTTTGGCACAGACTGCAGTGCACACATACGTTCATGATAAGTACCAATATGTTTGGATCTGCAGAGTATACAAATTCTGTCACTGAAACATAATATGACATTATGCCTGTGTTATGGTTGTATTAGTACATACTCATAATCCAAACCTAAGCTTCATGGATTTTTAGGACATAGTCTGTGTAAGCCAATTAGGACATAGTCTGTGTAAGCCAATTAGGACATAGTCTGTGTAAGCCAATTAGGACATAGTCTGTGTAAGCCAATTAGGACATAGTCTGTGTAAGCCAATTAGGACATAGTCTGTGTAAGCCAATTTGTCTTTTTCAAGTTTAGTCCTGTACTGACAATCAGTTGCAGTATAATTTGCTCTGATCTTGTAGAATGTCAAAAAGACATTTTACTACCTACTTGCTACAGACAATAGTCAGATCCAGTCCCGATTGATAAGCCCGGGCCACAAGCTGCCGTCCTTGTTTTAGGCGTTAGGGGGGACAACCACTGGCTATTCGCAATGGCGTCACAGCTGGCGAAACTTGAATCGTGGGCGATGAATTTAGCTCAGAATGCTTTGTTACCAGTCATGTGTCAAAAATATCTAAAGAGAGTTATATATGATCTGTTTTGGGTTCTATTTTAGTTGTCAAATTGCATATTGGGAGTGAGAATGATTCATAAGTCCGATGTAATGGTGTATCGGTCAATGAGGAAGTCACCATGGCTGAAAGTTAGAATCGTGCACTACTTCGAAGCACACATGTCAGGCAGAGCATAATATATTGCCAATTTACAGCATGTCAATAATATATTATTCATCCGAGGGCGGGGTAACTAAATTTTGTTTGTACTTTCCATCGTAATTTAAGTGTATAGAAAGAGCTGGAAACCGTAAACAAAAGCACAAGTTACAAATGTGGATATCTCTAAATAGATTGTCAACAGTTACATTGCCCACGTTATTTGTCTCCTCTAAGTAAAACCAATATAACCTAAAAGAGTTAACCTATAGAGTTAGTGGGTCTTTTTAATGAATGAACATAAAAGAATAGTTGATAAAATCAAAGCAGTACATTATTTCTCCTCACTGCTACATTGGTTTTATTATGCAATAAATTAATCATAACTTATACTTTATTTAGGCATCTGGAATGTGGGGTCGGGCATGTCACCAGGGATAAATCTAGACCTGCTCAGAGGCTGATATTCAGCCCCAAATCTGTAGCAGATGTCAGTAAACTGTCCCTCTTTAAAAGTTTTAACATATCTGTGCCATCCTAAAATAATGCAGAATGTAAGGAAATTATACCTTATTAGTTTTTTCCCCAATCTGTTTGCATAGGGCACTTAGTTTGCAATTCTAAATTTAGATAAAAATCCCTGGTCACACTTCCATAATATTGGACTTAATAAACTGCCAGTATTTAGGTACATGTATGTGAGAACAGTGGAAAACATTGAGAGGATCCAAGATAAACTGAGCACCTGTAACTGCCATGGTTATGGCAAATCAATCATTCATGTTCCAGAGAAGGGAAACCTGTAATGGCCAAAGTATCTGAAGACAGGGTCTGCTGTACTTCCCATCAATTAACTTGCATTGATAAAATATACAACAAATCAAAACTCATATATGATCTTTTATTCTAAAGACTTGCCATGAATCCAAGAATTATTACTGTTAACAGCTAAACATGTAAATTAAGTACAACAAATATCTCATAAGGAAGAGAATTTATGGATGTCAACTTCTTAATTATGAGCAACACCACCATCCTTATCTTCTCTTCCTGATGTGTATCTCTTCTAAATGCCATCCAAAGACTTAAATATGTCATAAGTGCAAAGCTTTAATCAACAAAATTACCTGTTGACATCATCATGATCATGGTTGTTACTTAGTAAGAAGAAATAATTAGGACATAACAATAAATAATATATATTTTATTTAACAAATCACATGTGAATTGACAATTATTACTTATGCATGAAGCAACGTACATTTAAATGCAAATATCCGGTAATTGGACACCTGGAGTTCATTAGATATTTAAACATATATCCCAAGTATGCTTCACAAATATTGGTGTGAACTTGACTTTTCCTTAAGTAATACACACAAACAGGGATTCAGACCAGTTCCTTTTCTAGGTCTCCCCAAATCATGGTAAAGAATTACATTTTGGGTTAAATACATTTCAATATTCATCACAGTTATATATGAAATGTATTAAGAATTATCTAATATATTCTGTATCAGAATTGATCAGGCACTCTGGATAATGCCTGATCATGGTGTGGCAAAGAGATAGTGTCTTTGTTTTTACAAATTCTGAATATCTTGAAATAAGTATCATGCATTATGATACTGGTAATCACTTTCAACACAATCTTTTTTAAAAATATATTATTTAAAAAGAAATTATTATGTCCTTTAGAAAGAGCCAACAAGCTAAGTTTTATACCACGTTAGTGCAATTAAATCATTAATCTGACTTTTATGCGGCATCAATTAAATAACTGGTTGGTATAATTATTAATTACTTGATTAGATTATAATTTATATCATTACTTGACCATGTTACTCTGAATTCATAAACAATCTTGCTATTATTTCCAGTAAATTATTTAAAATGACTTGACACTTAAAATCATTTTTAACAGTTATATTGTTTCACTAAAATGTATATCAGTAAGCTTCAACTACCAGTGAATAACTTATGTTGCAAACAATTCTAAACCAATAATTTTCTTGTATTAACAAAGATAAGTTTTTTTATTTCAAAATATTTCAGTAATTCACTTCCTTCTCATGAAATTTTCCTCTCCTTTCTAACCTTGAAGGGATGATTCCATTTCACATTACTGCATGGGTCCTGTCTCTTCATAGAAATGCTGAAATAGTCAAAGCATGATTTAATGGGAACTTATATGAAATAAATTGAAAGATTTTGTGGAACGAAAACCATTGACAATGATTACATTTCTATGTTTAAAGAATTATTACTGCTGGAGTAATTTGCAATATTATGCTCGAGTACTTTGCAATATTAACAGATAGGCTTATTGTCATTTGTTTTGTGATTTTGAAACTAAATCATATCTAAAAATCTGTAACAAAATAAATCATATCTAAGAGAGAGGAATACAAGATCCACCAGATCATACTTCAATGTAAATAATAGCAGATTGTGTTCTGCACTAACCGAAATCAGATCACAATCATATTTGTTTACAGTGTGTCACGGTCGTCTCGCGTTTCACATTTCAGCAATATGACCTGCTAACTCAATGCCCGATGTTGCCAAAATACTTAATTTGAAAATGATTTTGTAGTTACAAGCATTATCCTTGTTTATAACATGCGTAAAATCAGAACTTGCTACGTGTTTTCATTTACCCGATTTGAGTATGCATATGTGCAAAAGTGCGGAAATTCGTGCAAATACTCACCTTCGAGCAGACGTGGGTCCCGTGGAAGATGGTGGCGACATTTAACGGATGGTGAGGCCCAGCGCACATCTTGATCAGCCTCAAACATTTTTCTCCCGACCCTGGGGGTTTGGGTAAAGGTATACATCTAATCCCAGCGATACATAATGAATATCGCGAGTGAAAATAGCACAAACCGTAGCCATGTCGCTTCTTGGGTGTCGTTTGACCTCAGAAGTAAGTCTGACAAATCCGCAAAGTGTGCCGGGCCTTCTGATTGGCTCAAAATGATGCATGTGCCAATTTTGATTGACAGACTAGATCGGTCTATTGGCTAATGAAGTCCCATGCCTGATGTCCATTGATTAAGTATGTGCTTAAAGGAATCCATCCAGTGATACGCAAAGGTTGGAGGACCTTAATTAAATGTGATGTAAATACATCACAATGGAATTCCCTTTCTTCACACAACACCATTGTTATAGTGTTGATTAACACCTCAAGATGATACAATGGCTTAACAATGTAAGATTCATTTGGGATTAGGCAGTACTTGGAATGAATGCTTGATGACTGCATGCAGTCAAATGTGATACCCATATGTTGCAGACTGGGTCCATCAACACAGATTTATGAGTTCAATACAGTTGTTATTTGATAAATTATTCAGTTGATGGTTTCAGTTATATAATGTTTCAGGAACCTCGAGTCCACTGAACTGCCTGTGTATTCAGTGAAGGCCCACAAGGAGATCATCAACTGTATTGATGGTGTGGGAGGCCTGGGTATAGGAGAAGGGGCACCTGAGATTGTCACAGGCAGTCGAGATGGTAAGGAGACATACACCGAACTTTCTGTTATGCCAAAAGAGTTAAGATCATCTTTAGATTTGTACACAGGCAATTAGAGCTCTGACCAGTGCTGGCAGTGAGAACAAAATTGACTCAAGTTCCCGTGCCTCAAAACCTTAGACACAGACTCAATTTCAATATACACTTCACAATCAATGTATTGTCGTTTTTTCACTCTGCGCTGTCGACGTTAAAATGCCTGTAGGCACTGTAGCGTTTTTCATCCATGTCTGCATCACATGTAGAGTTTACCTCCTGCCTGCCCTCAAGGGTAGAGGTCACCTCCTGCCTGCCCTCAAGGGTAGAGGTCACCTCCTGTCTGCCCTCAAGGGTAGAGGTCACCTCCTGCCTGCCCTCAAGGGTAGAGGTCACCTCCTGTCTGCCCTCAAGGGTAGAGGTCACCTCCTGCCTGCCCTCAAGGGTAGAGGTCACCTCCTGTCTGCCCTCAAGGGTAGAGGTCACCTCCTGCCTGCCCTCAAGGGTAGAGGTCACCTCCTGCCTGCCCTCAAGGGTAGAGTGAGTGAGTGAGTTGGGTTTAACGCGGCTTTTTACAGTATTACAGTTATATCGCGAATACAAATGGAAATCGGAAACTTCTTGCCCTCAGAAAAGACAAAACATTTGGTACTCGGTTTCACTAAACCTAATAATTATTTATGTTAATCTTGAGACACAAGGTAATCAAACCTCAAACATCTTGTATATTTGTGAACCTTGAATACTTTGTTGTAGGGTCTGTGAAAGTTTGGGATCCCCGACAGAAAAATGACCCAGTGGCAACAATGGAGCCAGGGGAAGGAGAGACAAAGAGAGATTGTTGGAGTGTGGCTTTTGGTAGGTGGAGTTATCTCCCTTGTACCATGCCTCAATGAAGCACTCTGCTATCCCTGGCATGAATGAATTAGAACTCATTTTGTGCATGTGACGATTACATGACACAACACAAACTCATGGAATTGTAAACATTATATACCCTGTTCAAATTGTTTCTGTTTGCTTTTGTCTTCAAATCAAAGTGTTTACATACTGCAGAGAATAACCTGTCTTTAAGCTCAGTCGTACCTGGATCGGATGTTTCATGGTTTACTGCAAAGTCTTGCAATATCACTTCTCCATTCCTGCCCGAGGTATTATATTCTGGCACAGATGTTATTTGTACATTTTCTATGCGTCAGTATTTGAAATGAAGATTTAATCTTTCTTGCGAATATTTGTTAGCACTGTTCTTAAAGACAGATGTGAAAATATCATAGTAGAACTTGTATGAAGAAATCGGCTGGCACCCTGGACATATTAAAAGATAGATGTCCATGTTGCCATGTGCATGCTGCTTAAGAAAACCTTGTGCTGCCTGTGTGCAGGTAATGCGTACAACGCCCAGGAGAGATGCGTGTGTGCTGGATATGATAACGGGGATGTCAAGCTGTTCGACCTCAGAAACATGGCACTCAAATGGGAAACAAACATAAAAAATGGGGTGAGTTCTTATATGAAGTTATTTTTCTGCAGTTAGAACATCACTAGCCCTGTTGGCCCACCCCATGGTGGGCCCTAGTAAAACTACTATCCCATGGTGGCCCTTGTGAAACTTCTCCCTGTGGTGGCCCTTGTGAAACTACCTCCCTGTGGTGGCCTTAGTGAAACGACCTTCCTGTGGTGACCCAAGTGAAACTACCTCCCTGTGGTGGCCCTTGTGAAACTACCACCCCGTGGTGACCCAAGTGAAACTACCACCCTGTGGTGGCCCTAGTGAAACTACCTCTCTGTGGTGGCCCTAGTGAAACAACCTCCCTGTGGTGGCCCTAGTGAAACTACCTCTCTGTGGTGGCCCTAGTAAAACTACCTCTCTATGGTGGCCTTAGCGAAACTACTTCTCTGTGGTGGCCCTAGTAAAACTACCTCTCTGTGGTGGCCTTAGTGAAACTACCTCCCTGTGGTGGCCCTAGTGAAACTACCAACCGGCAGTGACCCTAGTAAAACTACCACCCTGTGGTGGCCCTAGTGAAACTACCTCTCTGTGGTGGCCCTAGTGAAACTACCTCCCTGTGGTGGCCCTTGTGAAACTACCTCTCTGTGGTGGCCCTAGTGAAACTATCTCCCCGTGGTGACCCAAGTGAAACTACCACCCTGTGGTGGCCCTAGTGAAACTACCTCTCTGTGGTGACCCTAGTGAAACTACCTCTCTGTGGTGGCCCTAGTGAAACTACCTCTCTGTGGTGGCCCTAGTGAAACTACCTCACTGTGGTGGCCCTAGTAAAACTACCTCTCTGTGGTGGCCCTAGTGAAACTACCTCTCTGTGGTGGCCCTAGTGAAACTACCTCCCTGTGGTGACCCTAGTGAAACTACCTCTCTGTGGTGGCCCTAGTGAAACTACCTCTCTGTGGTGGCCCTAGTGAAACTACCTCTCTGTGGTGGCCCTAGTGAAACTACCTCCCTGTGGTGGCCCTAGTAAAACTACCTCTCTGTGGTGGCCCTAGTGAAACTACCTCTCTGTGGTGGCCCTAGTGAAACTACCTCCCTGTGGTGACCCTAGTGAAACTACCTCTCTGTGATGGCCCTAGTGAAACTCCCCCCCTGTGGTGGCCCTAGTGAAACTACCTCCCTGTGGTGGCCCTTGTGAAACTACCTCCCTGTGGTGGCCTTAGTGAAACTACCAACCGGCAGTGACCCTAGTGAAACTAACTCCCTGTGGTGGCCTTAGTTAAACTACCTCACCATGGTGGCCCTAGTGAAACTACCTCTCTTTGGTGGCCCTAGTAAAACTACCTCTCTGTGGTGGCCCTAGTGAAACTACCACCCTGTGGTGGCCCTAGTGAAACTACCTCCCTGTGGTGGCCCTTGTTACTACCTCCCTGTGGTGGCCCTAGTGAAACTACCTCCCTGTGGTGGCCCTTGTTACTACCTCCCTGTGGTGGCCTTATTGAAACTACCTCACCATGGTGACCCAAGTGAAACTACCTCCCTGTGGTGGCCCTAGTGAAACTACCTCTCTATGGTGGCCCTAGTAAAACTACCTCTCTGTGGTGGCCCTAGTGAAACTACCACCTTGTGGTGGCCCTAGTGAAACTACCTCTCTGTGGTGACCCTAGTGAAACTACTCTCTGTGGTGGCCCTTGTGAAACTACCTCTCTGTGGTGGCCCTAGTGAAACTATCTCCCCGTGGTGACCCAAGTGAAACTACCACCCTGTGGTGGCCCTAGTGAAACTACCTCTCTGTGGTGACCCTAGTGAAACTACCTCTCTGTGGTGGCCCTAGTGAAACTACCTCTCTGTGGTGGCCCTAGTGAAACTACCTCACTGTGGTGGCCCTAGTAAAACTACCTCTCTGTGGTGGCCCTAGTGAAACTACCTCTCTGTGGTGGCCCTAGTGAAACTACCTCCCTGTGGTGACCCTAGTGAAACTACCTCTCTGTGGTGGCCCTAGTGAAACTACCTCTCTGTGGTGGCCCTAGTGAAACTACCTCTCTGTGGTGGCCCTAGTGAAACTACCTCCCTGTGGTGGCCCTAGTAAAACTACCTCTCTGTGGTGGCCCTAGTGAAACTACCTCTCTGTGGTGGCCCTAGTGAAACTACCTCCCTGTGGTGACCCTAGTGAAACTACCTCTCTGTGATGGCCCTAGTGAAACTCCCCCCCTGTGGTGGCCCTAGTGAAACTACCTCCCTGTGGTGGCCCTTGTGAAACTACCTCCCTGTGGTGGCCTTAGTGAAACTACCAACCGGCAGTGACCCTAGTGAAACTAACTCCCTGTGGTGGCCTTAGTTAAACTACCTCACCATGGTGGCCCTAGTGAAACTACCTCTCTTTGGTGGCCCTAGTAAAACTACCTCTCTGTGGTGGCCCTAGTGAAACTACCTCCCTGTGGTGACCCAAGTGAAACTACCTCCCTGTGGTGGCCCTTGTGAAACTACCACCCCGTGGTGACCCAAGTGAAACTACCACCCTGTGGTGGCCCTAGTGAAACTACCTCTCTGTGGTGGCCCTAGTGAAACAACCTCCCTGTGGTGGCCCTAGTGAAACTACCTCTCTGTGGTGGCCCTAGTAAAACTACCTCTCTATGGTGGCCTTAGCGAAACTACTTCTCTGTGGTGGCCCTAGTAAAACTACCTCTCTGTGGTGGCCTTAGTGAAACTACCTCCCTGTGGTGGCCCTAGTGAAACTACCAACCGGCAGTGACCCTAGTAAAACTACCACCCTGTGGTGGCCCTAGTGAAACTACCTCTCTGTGGTGGCCCTAGTGAAACTACCTCCCTGTGGTGGCCCTTGTGAAACTACCTCTCTGTGGTGGCCCTAGTGAAACTATCTCCCCGTGGTGACCCAAGTGAAACTACCACCCTGTGGTGGCCCTAGTGAAACTACCTCTCTGTGGTGACCCTAGTGAAACTACCTCTCTGTGGTGGCCCTAGTGAAACTACCTCTCTGTGGTGGCCCTAGTGAAACTACCTCACTGTGGTGGCCCTAGTAAAACTACCTCTCTGTGGTGGCCCTAGTGAAACTACCTCTCTGTGGTGGCCCTAGTGAAACTACCTCCCTGTGGTGACCCTAGTGAAACTACCTCTCTGTGGTGGCCCTAGTGAAACTACCTCTCTGTGGTGGCCCTAGTGAAACTACCTCTCTGTGGTGGCCCTAGTGAAACTACCTCCCTGTGGTGGCCCTAGTAAAACTACCTCTCTGTGGTGGCCCTAGTGAAACTACCTCTCTGTGGTGGCCCTAGTGAAACTACCTCCCTGTGGTGACCCTAGTGAAACTACCTCTCTGTGATGGCCCTAGTGAAACTCCCCCCCTGTGGTGGCCCTAGTGAAACTACCTCCCTGTGGTGGCCCTTGTGAAACTACCTCCCTGTGGTGGCCTTAGTGAAACTACCAACCGGCAGTGACCCTAGTGAAACTAACTCCCTGTGGTGGCCTTAGTTAAACTACCTCACCATGGTGGCCCTAGTGAAACTACCTCTCTTTGGTGGCCCTAGTAAAACTACCTCTCTGTGGTGGCCCTAGTGAAACTACCACCCTGTGGTGGCCCTAGTGAAACTACCTCCCTGTGGTGGCCCTTGTTACTACCTCCCTGTGGTGGCCCTAGTGAAACTACCTCCCTGTGGTGGCCCTTGTTACTACCTCCCTGTGGTGGCCTTATTGAAACTACCTCACCATGGTGACCCAAGTGAAACTACCTCCCTGTGGTGGCCCTAGTGAAACTACCTCTCTATGGTGGCCCTAGTAAAACTACCTCTCTGTGGTGGCCCTAGTGAAACTACCACCTTGTGGTGGCCCTAGTGAAACTACCTCTCTGTGGTGACCCTAGTGAAACTACTCTCTGTGGTGGCCCTTGTGAAACTACCTCCCTGTGGTGGCCTTAGTGAAACTACCTCCCCATGGTGGCCCTAGTGAAACTACCTCCCTGTGGTGACCCTATTGAAACTACCTCTCTGTGATGGCCCTAGTGAAACTCCCCCCCCCCCCCCCCCCCCCTGTGGTGGCCCTAGTGAAACTACCTCCCTGTGGTGGCCCTAGTGAAACTACCTCTCTGTGGTGGCCCTAGTGAAACTACCTCCCTGTGGTGGCCTTAGTGAAACTACCACCCTGTGGTGGCCCTAGTGAAACTACCTCTCTGTGGTGGCCCTAGTGAAACTACCTCTCTGTGATGGCCCTAGTGAAACTCCCCCCCCCCCCCCTGTGGTGGCCCTTGTGAAACTACCTCCCTGTGGTGGCCTTAGTGAAACTACCACCCTGTGGTGGCCCTAGTGAAACTACCTCTCTGTGGTGGCCCTAGTGAAACTACCTCTCTGTGATGGCCCTAGTGAAACTCCCCCCCCCCCTGTGGTGGCCCTTGTGAAACTACCTCCCTGTGGTGGCCCTAGTGAAACTACCTCTCTGTGGTGGCCCTAGTGAAACTACCTCCCTTTGGTGACCCTAGTGAAACTACCTCTCTGTGATGGCCCTAGTGAAACTCCCCCCCCTGTGGTGGCCCTAGTGAAACTCCCCCCCTGTGGTGGCCCTAGTGAAACTACCACCCTGTGGTGGCCCTAGTGAAACTACCCCTCTGTGGTGGCCCTAGTGAAACATTCGTGTTAGTTTCTTTCACTGACCCCGGATACATCTATACTTCATCACCATAAGAATAATCACACAGCCCCCAAACCCACTTACCAATCAGCAGGTTACTTATGTTTTCATGTATTTCAGTTGCTCACATTCATCAGGAATGCATGTGGCGACTTCTCCCGATTGTGAAGGTTTGTCCCTGACTATGTACTGCTCTATGTGTTCAGGTGTGTGGTGTGGAGTTTGACAGGAAGGACATCAACATGAACAAGCTGGCAGCCACAACCCTGGAGGCCAAGTTCCATGTGTTTGATATGAGGACCCAGCATCCCAAGAAGGGCTTCACAGGCTTGTCGGAGAAAGTGAGTACATGTGTGACAGGAGCTCAGTACAAACTACTGGGTCTGGGAAACTTGGCAATGACAGCAGAAACCAACACCAATTTAGTGAACCCAGTTATTCCTAGGTCATGGGGTGTTTTATTGATGCTGTATAAGCATTGTATCTTATAACCAGTATTTTCTAGTGTTTTAAAGTATCTTTAGAATGGAGCATTTGTACAAAATGTAGTCCATGTCTTCTAAACAGTGTTGATGTGTTTGTTGTTGCCAGGCACACAAGTCCACAGTGTGGTTGGCACGGCATCTGCCCCAGAACAGAGATATCTTCATGACAGGTGGAGGCAATGGATCCCTCAACTTGTGGAAATAGTGAGTAGACTATAGTACAGTAAGGTACACATCACTGTCATGAAATAGTAAATAGACCAAAGTACAGTATGGTACACACCACTGTCATGAAATAGTTAGTAGACTATAGTACAGTATGGCACACACCACTGTCATGAAATAGTGAGTAAACCATAGTACAGTATGGTACACACCACTGTCATGACATAGTGAGTAAACCATAGTACAGTATGGCACACACCACTGTCATGAAATAGTGAGTAGACCATGGTACAGTATGGCACACACCACAGTCATGAAATAGTGAGTAAACCATAGTACAGTATGGTACACACCACTGTCATGAAATAGTGAGTAAACCATAGTACAGTATGGCACACACCACAGTCATGAAATAGTGAGTAGACCATAGTACAGTATGGCACACACCACTGTCATGAAATAGTGAGTAGACCATAGTACAGTATGGCACACACCACTGTCATGAAATAGTGAGTACACCATGGTACAGTATGGCACACACCACTGTCATGAAATAGTGAGTAAACCATAGTACAGTAAGGTACACACCACTGTCATGAAATAGTTAGTAGACTATAGAACAGTAAGGTACACACCACTGTCATGAAATAGTGAGTAGACCATAGTACAGTATGGTACACACCACTGTCATGAAATAGTTAGTAGACTATAGCACAGTAAGGTACACACCACTGTCATGAAATAGTGAGTAGACCATAGTACAGTATGGCACACACCACTGTCATGAAATAGTCAATCTCATTAAATCAGACCTTAGTTCTCGCTACCGCTCAACAAAGATCTGAGGACATCCCATTACGGGTCACGTCAGACCGAGTCCATCCTGAAGAAACTCCCAACCTTTCAGCCACCCACACCTAGCGTCAGGATGTTCTACAGACTGGATGTTGAAGCATTGTGACACAGTCGACATGATTTGACAGGAGCACCAAATGTTGTGTTAAATATATCAATAAATCTTCCAATATGCCATTAAAGCCAATGTTCTTTTTGTCTTAGTGGTATTTACAATGTCACACTTGCACACTAGACTTGTTCATGAATCCCATTACTGTATGCTTGGGATTCCTGTGAGTAAAAGTCATCTATAAATTGCAATGTTGATGTTATTCGTTGATGTTATGATCATCTCAAATATATTTGCCGACTATATTTTAACTTTAATTATCAGCATTATGTAGAGGGGAATGTCCGAGTAACTCTCCATTCCTTAAAAATAGTGGAGCGGAGGCCCTGCAGGGGCCGAGGCCCATTATTTTTAAGGAATGAAGAGTTACGAGGATATTCCCCTACTTAAAACTCATCCCTACTTTTACACTTTGACAAAATATTCTGTAGTTGAAAATATTTGAAAAATAAACCAGAACTCTTTGTTGTCTGTATTTATACTGCGTGAGTCGACCTTGCGTGATGCACGAGGAATGCGTTCTCTGCCGCTGTTGCACGTGCGCCAAGCTCCGTCGTGAGCTGACATTTACAATGCATGGAACACAGCTCTTCATAATTTCGTTGGGTCCTAAACTAGTATTTATCAATTGCTTGCACATTGTTAATACATGCTGATAGGTATAATAAGAAATATAGAGCCCCAAACAAGCAATATTTATATTACCTTATTTTTCTCGTCAAAGGTTTATCTAACTGCTATAAATATGAACATTGTAATGGGTAACCTGCTCTAACACAAAATATATACATCTTAATTTGAGCTTTTAAGCATTATGCAAAATAATGAAAATATTTAATAGTTAATATCGCATCATGCCTTCATATGCCGTCAAATGTGTTTTCAAATCTAACGACACGTTTTCAGAAAAAAATGAAAATATTCACTTGTAAATAAATGTAAAAAATAGTTCCGTCTGTTCCTTGTGGAAATTAATTCAAATGTTGCTTCAAGATATTGTACAGTTGACAAGCAACTCTCCATTCCTGAAAAATAATGGAGCGTTCAAACAATGGAATGACGTCACAGATGTGTTTTAAGCTCAAAGTTAAACATATTTAACACTGTTATGATGCAAATCTTTGTCCTGTGTGTGTAATGTGTGGGCACAAAACGTCCACCATCATTGTCGGCCACAGCTCCATCCTCTGCACTTTATGTTCCCAGCTCCTACCCCGACAAGCGTGTTGTAGAAGACGGTGACGGTGTCGCCATGGGAGTAGTCGGCTCGGTCAACTTGTTGCAGAATGTCACAATGTCCACTCAGCCAATCAGCAGCTTTGACTGGAGCCCAGACAAGGAGGGACTTTGTGTGTGTACATCATTTGACCAGAACCTCCGAGTGTTGATTGTTACCAAGCTCAACAAAGTGTAACAAACAGCTTACATGAAACACCAGTTCACCCATATCGGAGACATTTCACGGAATGGTGCATGCATTAAATCATTCACAGCATACAGTGTATTCAATCTCATCAAAATCAGATCTCCCATACAATTCCTCTCTCTATGACAAAATCTCATCACACCTCAGTAGAAGGTCGTGTCAGGTGAACCTTTTGTGAACTTTGACAACCATTGTAAATAAAGGTTGTTTTGTTCCTTGAGCCTATGTCAGCTTTGTAAAACACATTTTTGCTTCACTCATTGCCTTGATTTGGAAATTTCTATCTATTAAGCAAAATAGAAAAATGCTAGAAAATGCAAATATGCCCTTGATAGTACACTCTTTTGGATATAGATGATGTAACACTCAAAGAAAAAACATCAGGATGTGTAAATTACCCACAATACTATAATGTTTTGTTTTCACATTAGGTTATAGTCATTTTCAAGATACAGAAATCAGATGTACTTGTCTGAATGCTTCGCTCGTTCGCACTGAGACTTGGTTGATTGGAGAGTTCACCTGATAATGGCGGTATCCTGAGATCTCCACACAGTGAGGTATTGTCTCAAGAGTAGGGGATTGGATTGCAATGGGACTGATAGTGTATTCCACTTGGTCATACTAGTGTCATTGCAGGGAAAGTGTCCAGCACCCGCCCACACATCCCAAGCAATCTGCTCAGTCTCCATAGCATCCTTTGGGGGTTGCATTTTTTACATTGTTGAAAAAAACTGAATCATTTTCTCGGTTATTTATTTCAGGTATATTTATAAGCATTATTGAAATGTTTTAATTTTCTGTTCAGTGATTTCCATATTTTTGTATGAGACATTTTGTACTTGATATGTATATACTGTGTTGACATTCCCCCACACTGATGGTTGTCCGTCCAGCGTGGTCACAGAGTTGTGGTCCACATCACTCATCTTGTTCTACATCGGATGTGGTCATAAAATTGTATCATGAATCCAAAAGTTGTCCTTTGTCATTATTGAATCATAGAGACTGAATAGCAACACATTAAGTTTAAGATCTCTGTCAAGAATTTATCAAGGCAAAACACAAGACAATAATGATTTATAAAATTTATTACTTTTTGACTCTTAGAATATGAAAATAGAAAACAAAAGCACATGACTGAAGCGAATTCAAGCATATACATATATTTGTGAAACATTGAATATATACCATCATCATGACCTTTTCAGCTACAACAAATTAAGGGATGTTACCATGGTTACTGTAAATCTGGAAAGTTTTGCGAGCAGGAAAGTACTGCCAAAACTACAAGTGACACACACTTGCAATATTTTCATAACACAGTTATTTTTGCAGACCAACAAAAGATGTAAGGAGGCATGTTTTTTTAATTCACTTCCACCCATTGTCAAACCAGCCAGTACATGATAAAACAATTGATTCCTCACATCCTGTTTCCCTAATTACACGTGGTCACTCTAACATGTCAATACTCTACGAGAATCTGGACTTTACTCAGAAAGTGTTATCCCAAATATGACATTTGTTACAGTTTATTCTGTTAGATAAACACACTGCCCCAACCTCCCTTGTCAACTACAACAACAGATGCATCCATAGTTTAACAATCACTGACTGACACTGACTTACCATTCCATCATGTCGCTTCCTACTTATCAAATATTACACCTGCAATAGTAGCTTTGATATTTGGTAATCTTAACAGGACTTTTCTGATGCAGTTAAAGCTATTGTTAGCCATGTGCAGTAATTTCATGGCTCAAAACTGTCCATATTTACAGTACATAGCTTCATAGCAACTTTTACTGCATAGCTAAGCTGTTGTGGTCACTCAGTTTCAATGTGTCATCATGATTATCATGTTTATGTGTTACTTCCATCCATTTCATGAAAACTTCTCTAGTATGTCAGCATTGGCAGTGTAATGCCAATGGAAGATATTGAGAATCTCACCCTCGTGTCTTTTGATATCAAATATATCAACACGAGTTGATAAAAGTGGAAAAATTCCGAGGCTTGCCGAGGATTTTTGCCACTTTTATCAATGAGTATATTTGATATGAAAAGACACGAGGGTGAGATTTTATTTATCATCCAACATCATTCTTCCAACTTTTTCAATGTGTAGACAGTAATTAGAAGTGTTTTCAGTGTAAAAAGTACTGCTAACAGCTTCAGTAGCAGAGCCATTAGTGATGTCATTTGATTGTGACGTCATGGTAACCAGTGACGTCACAATGGTCTGCAAAGCATTGTGATGTAATTTCACTGCAGCGATATCTACAGTGTAGATATCGCTTGATCTAATCCAAGCAATATCTCCTGTGGAAGCCAGTTTTGGATGATAAATTCTCTCATCAAATCAGCCTCCCAATATGTGAGGAATTTCCAACACAAAGCATTCAGAAGCACGATACAGTAATAAACAGCTGTTCCCCAGTTGAGCGAGGGCACGGTTGCCCAGTCGTCTAAGGCGCCGTGATTCGCTGTGCAGAGTTGCGTCCCTTGGGCCCGCCAGATTCCTTTGATTGTGGGTTCGAATCCTGGTTCGCCCCAATTATGTTTCTAGGTTTGTCAGCACCATACCCGTGCTCGTGGATTTCACCGAAGTGGTAACATGTCACCAACATTCTGTTGTGGTTGGTGTTAGACAATGTAATTGAATCATGGTGATTGTGAATTCTGAATATTCTGAAAAGGACTAGACATTTCTATATCATAATATGGCCAACTGTTTACAACTAACAGTAACACCATATGCATATCTAGATATTGATGTCAGAATCTGAATGCAATTGTAAAGACTTGCAACCCAGGTAGGTAATGTGTTCATGGATGAAGGAGTATTTCTTGACTGTAGGGAATGAGGACTCCTAGACAAACCTCTGTTATGTTGCCAATGTTTCTTATTATATCACAGTTCTGAGATCAACATTTAAACTCTGTACTACATACATTATCACATGTTTAATACTGAATACCCACATCAAGAGTTCAGTGTACCCACATCAAGAGTTCAGTGTACCCACATCAAGAGTTCAGTGTACCCACATCAAGAGGTCAGTGTACCCACATCAAGAGGTCAGTGTACCCACATCAAGAGTTCAGTGTACCCACATCAAGAGTTCAGTGTACCCACATCAAGAGTTCAGTGTACCCACATCAAGAGGTCAGTGTACCCACATCAAGAGGTCAGTGTACCCACATCAAGAGGTCAGTGTACCCACATCAAGAGGTCAGTGTACCCACATCAAGAGTTCAGTGTACCCACATCAAGAGGTCAGTGTACCCACATCAAGAGGTCAGTGTACCCACATCAAGAGTTCAGTGTACCCACATCAAGAGTTCAGTGTACCCACATCAAGAGGTCAGTGTACCCACATCAAGAGGTCAGTGTACCCACATCAAGAGTTCAGTGTACCCACATCAAGAGGTCAGTGTACCCACATCAAGAGGTCAGTGTACCCACATCAAGAGGTCAGTGTACCCACATCAAGAGGTCAGTGTACCCACATCAAGAGGTCAGTGTACCCACATCAAGAGTTCAGTGTACCCACATCAAGAGGTCAGTGTACCCACATCAAGAGGTCAGTGTACCCACATCAAGAGTTCAGTCACTACTTGTCTTTCCACACCACGAGATTGGTCACTATTTGTCTACATCACAAGGTCGGTCACTATTGTCCACGCCATAAGGTCGCTCAATATTTGTCTGACCTCATCACTGAGGGCCAATACTCACTTCACGAGGTCGGTCTCTATTTCTGTCAGTCAACAGATGTCCATCAAGTGGCCATGGTATGCTCTCTAGCCCTAGTAAGGACACTACAAGTGATTCTGAAAATTGCTTACAAATAATTTGGGTGGCCATGAAATATAACTCACTAGAATGCAAAAATACATAACATCGATAGTATTTTATCTTATGATATTCAGTAACTTTTGAGATATTTATGAAAAAAGACAAGAACATAATGTGACTGTTGTATCCAAACAATTATAGAAAACTACAATGCAGAGACACCAGTCACAGAGATTGTGTACTTTCCTCTGACCATGTGACCTTGCAGAAAGACTTCCCAGTAAATGCACTACCGTCTTGGTGGATTGTCTGCATAATGGCTTGAGATTTTGCAGCTATTACCCGTATTGCTCCATACTGTTCAGCCCTAGTGCTACAGAGATGCAAGCCTGCTGTTCATGAAGAGCAGGACTACTGCCACCATCAGAGGGACCGAGGGGAAGCCATAGCTGCAGGCGCTGCTAATCTGGGCACCAGGCTGTTGTGTGTACTGACATGAACTGTCACCATCTTGCACCTGCCCATTACAGCAGGTCTCCTCATGACTGAAGTAGGGCACATGTCCACAGCACGCATCCCCGTCATACCGCTTGTCATATGTCTGGTTGGCACAGCACATCTGATGAGGGGGCAGGACATCCCCTGGGACACAAACCAGGCAGGGGTTGTGCCCACTGTACAGGTGATAGGCCTGGGTACTGCAGCATCTGGATATAACAGCAAGATCACTAGTGTCATACAGTATACATGGAGTTGGTTATCATAACAGTAAGCACTATATTAGTCCTTTGGATGATGAGTTTAATTTCATGCCACTTGAAACAGTGTCTCAGTTATATAACAGCACAGGTAACAGACAATGACAAGATACTACTCTTGGGAACCCTAGGAGCAGGATTGTCAGGGATTTGAATCCACAATCAGCAGCTCCAGGCACGGCTATGGGAAGCTTCCATTTACAGCACAGTCAGGGACACATGCAGAAATGGTAACATTGTCATCTGTATGAAGGCACAACACTAAGAATGGGCAGACACATTTCACTCCTTCAGGAAATTGAATTGTGGTCTGCATGATGAGACATCACTACAAATGACTGAGTGAATGAATAGTGCTGACTTTCTTGCATCTTTATACAGCCAACATTGTAGCATACAATGGGTCACATATTTAGCCCATTGTAACATACACTGCACCATACAGAATTATCAATGCATCTCAGCTGCTTCATCTGTGTTGTATTGTGGTACTGCTGAGATATCATAGAAGGGCAAACAAAGCTCTCTTACTCCGCTTCATTGGCTGACTCATTGTGGACGTGACCCTGGCAGCACATCTGGGTGGTCTCACTGTAGACTGTCTGCTTCAGATCCCAGCGCCGGCAGCAGCCGAGAGTGTCTCCAGGAGGAAAGTAGTGGACTTGACTGTTGCAGCACACAGCCAGTTCAGGGAGGAAGCGGACACCCTCACACACTGTGTCCCGGGGGCTGGTCCTCATCTCTGTATCTCCCGTATAGTGGCTGCATGACTAGAACATACAAAGCCTGTGAGCAGAGGTCTCAACCTGGTTCAGAGGATGACCTGACACAATTAACAAGTGTTATGAAATGTTCCTTTAGTGCTAAAAGAAAAGTAACTACTGTTCTATCTGTCCAAGATAATTTTTGCATCTTAAATTACAGGTAAAGGGGAGGATTTATCTATGAACTTGTGATGAACTGAGTGTTCTTAGATGTTGTGGAGTTGTGTCGTTCCAGTTATATACAGACCACAAAGCCATATGAATTCTGATGGTCACAGTTCTACAGGACACCAAGCCATATGGATTCTGATGGTCACAGTTTTAAAGGACACCAAGCCATATGGATTCTGATGGTCACAGTTTTAAAGGACACCAAGCCATATGGATTCTGATGGTCACAGTTTTAAAGGACACCAAGCCATATGGATTCTGATGGTAAGTTCTACAGGACACCAAGCCATATGGATTCTGATGGTCACAGTTCTACAGGACACCAAGCCATATGGATTCTGATGGTAAGTTCTACAGGACACCAAGCCATATGGATTATGATGGTCGCAGTTTTAAAGGACACCAAGCCATATGGATTCTGATGGTCACAGTTTTAAAGGACACCAAGCCATATGGATTCTGATGGTCACAGTTTTAAAGGACACCAAGCCATATGGATTCTGATGGTAAGTTCTACGGGACACCAAGCCATATGGATTCTGATGGTCACAGTTTTAAAGGACACCAAGCCATATGGATTCTGATGGTCACAGTTTTAAAGGACACCAAGCCATATGGATTATGATGGTCGCAGTTTTAAAGGACACCAAGCCATTTGGATTCTGATGGTCACAGTTCTACAGGACACAACGCCATATGGATGCTGATGATCACATTGTCACAGTGTCACATTGTATGCTTCTGTTGTCCAGTGTGTGTAAGTCAGTGTCATTTGTTTGTCTTTTCTGCAGTACACAAAGTCATATGGATTCTTATGGTCACAGTTCTAAGCTTGCAATCAAGAAAGAAGTTTAGTGTCTGTCTGGTGATGATGGAGCCACTATACATGTGATCGTGTTTCCCTGATGCAAGAGGGCACATACCTTCAGTGTGCTACAGCAGTCCTGGCCCTTCCTGAGTGGTTGACTGGGGCTGCCTGCAGCAGACATGACATGCGATAATGGAGAGAATGGGGGTCAAGTGGTGCTGTATCTTGTAAATATGGCGTGTCCTCGGTCACATGATCAGCAACAGGTAAAACTTTAAAGACTGGAAAATAGGTTATGCAATGTACAACTGTAGCTCTAGGCTGAAACCTGCTTATGCTATACTGTTTCTTCCACTGGGAAGATGGTTACAAGATGTTCCACGCAGCAGGGTGCTGACCTTCAGCATTATAGCAAGCTTAAGTGTGTGTTAAGTCAGACTGAATGAAGGTTCCTACCTGTACAGCAGTAGTGAGTGAGTGTGTTGAAGGGTGTGATGTCGTCGCAGCAACTGTGCATGTAGGGGTTGAAGACCTTGGGGCCACAGCACTGATCCTGGGGGGAGGTCTTGGCCACTGCATGGCCCTTGCAGCACAACTGATGTCGAGTGTCCACTGAACCTAGTATAACACACAGTGCAAGACTATACTGATCTCAACTGTCATGTAACAATACTGGAGGTATCATCTGTTATGTGACAATACTGGAGATATCAACTGTCATGTGACAATACTGGAGATATCAACTGTCATGTGACAATACTGAAGATATCAACTGTCATGTGACAATATTGGAGGTATCAACTGTCATGTGACAATACTGGAGATATCAACTGTCATGTGACAATACTGGAAATATCAACTGTCATGCAACAATACTGGAGGTATCAACTGTCATGTGACAATACTGGAGATATCAACTGTCATGCAACAATACTGGAGGCATCAACTGTCATGTGACAATACTGGGGATATCAACTTTCCTGTGATAATACTGGCGATATCAACTGTCATGTGACATGACTGAATATATATGCACTTGCTCATCAATACTGATATATTGGTCTCTCAAGACATGACCCTACATCACGTCCCCATATTAGCTCTCGGCTACCTCACACGGACATACAAGACTCTCACACTGACAAAACAGACCTCTCACACGAACATACACGACTCATCACTCTGACATACAATACCCTCACATGGACATACGAGACCCTCACACAGACATACGAGACCCTAACACGAATATAACAGACTCTCACACGGACATACACGAGACCCTCACTCTAACACACGGACATTACAGACCCTCACACGGACATTACAGACCCTCATACAGACGTCACAGACCCTCACACAGACATTACAGACCCTCACACGGACATTACAGACCCTCACACAGACATTACAGACCCTCACACGGACATTACAGACCCTCACACGGACATTACAGACCCTCACACAGACATTACAGACCCTCACACTGAATTTACAGACCCCCACACGGACATACGAGACCCCTCACACAGACATAACAGACCCCCACACGGACATTACAGACCCTCACACGGACATACGAGACCCCTCACACAGACATTACAGGCCCTCAAACATAAACATAACAGACCCTCACACAGACATTACAGACCCTCACACAGAAATTACAGACCCTCACGCGGACATTACAGACCCTCACACAGACATAACAGACCCCCACGAGGACATACGACACCCCTCACACAGACATTACAGACCCCCACGAGGACATACGACACCCGACCGCCTCCGTGGTCTTGTGGTAGAGCGTCCGCCCGGAGAGCGGAAGGTCCAGGGTTCGATCCCGGGCCGCGTCATACATAAAGACGTTAAAAGATTGTACTTGTTGTTACCCTGTCTGGCGCTCGGCATTAAGGGGCTAAAACAAGGACTGGTCGGCTCGGAGTCAGTATACTGTGTCTGAGTGGGGTATTCATGTTAAACTGCAGCATGGTATCTCAGTGAGCTAGCACTATAAATCGGCATCAGTCCGGACTAGTACAAGCAGCCACACACACACACACATACACGTGAATGCACGTCGCTATATAAGTGCAATAATCTTGGACGCGACGTTAAACCCAATTTCACCTCACCTCACCTCACATACGACACCCCTCACACAGCATTACAGCCCCTCACACAGACATTACAGACCCTCACACAGACATTACAGACCCTCACACAGACATTACAGACTCTCACACAGACATTACAGACCCTCACACAGACATAACAGGTCCTCACATAGACATAACAGGCCCTCACACAGACATAACAGACCCTCACACAGACATTACAGACCCTCACACAGACATAATAGACTCTCACACAGACATAACAGGCCCTCACACAGACATGACATAACCTCACACGGACATTACAGACGGTCAAATGGACATTACAGACCCTCACACAGACATTAAAGACCCTCACACTGACATACGAGACCCTCACACGGACACACGAGACCCCCCACACAGACATTACAGACCCTCACACGGACATTACAGACCCTCATACAGACGTCACAGACCCTCACACAGACATTACAGACCCTCACACGGACATTACAGACCCTCACACAGAAATTACAGACCCTCACGCGGACATTACAGACCCTCACACAGACATACGAGACCCCTCACACAGCATTACAGGCCCTCACACAGACATAACAGGCCCTCACACAGACATAACAGGCCCTCACACAGACATTACAGACTCTCACACAGACATTACAGACCCTCACACAGACATAACAGGCCCTCACACAGACATAACAGGCCCTCACACAGACATAACAGACTCTCACACAGACATAACAGGCCCTCACACAGACATGACATAACCTCCCGCGGACATTACAGACTCTCACACAGACATTACAGACTCTCACACAGACATTACAGACCCTCACACAGACATAACAGACTCTCACACAGACATAACAGGCCCTCACACAGACATGACATAACCTCACACGGACATTACAGACGGTCAAATGGACATTACAAACCCTCACACAGACATTAAAGACCCTCACACTGACATACGAGACCCTCACACGGACACACGAGACCCCCCACACAGACATTACAGACCCTCACACGGACATTACAGACCCTCATACAGACGTCACAGACCCTCACACAGACATTACAGACCCTCACACGGACATTACAGACCCTCACACAGACATTACAGACCCTCACACTGAATTTACAGACCCCCACACGGACATACGAGGCCCCTCACACAGACATAACAGACCCTCACACGGACATTACAGACCCTCACACAGACATTACAAACCCTCACACGGACATACGAGACCCCTCACATCGACATTACAGGCCCTCACACAGACATAACAGACCCTCACACAGGCATTACAGACCCTCACACAGAAATTACAGACCCTCACGCGGACATTACAGACCCTCGCACAGACATAACAGACCCCCACGAGGACATACGAGACCACTCACAAAGCATTACAGACCCTCACACAGACATACGAGACCACTCACGCGGACATTACACACTCTCACACAGACATTACAGACCCTCACACAGACATAACAGGCCCTCACACAGACATAACAGGCCCTCACACAGACATAACAGACCCTCACACAGACATAACAGACTCTCACACAGACATAACAGGCCCTCACACAGACATTACAGACTCTCACACAGACATTACAGACCCTCACACAGACATTACAGACTCTCACACAGACATTACAGACCCTCACACAGACATAACAGGCCCTCACACAGACATAACAGGCCCTCACACAGACATAACAGACCCTCACACAGACATTACAGACCTTCACACAGACATAATAGACTCTCACACAGACATAACAGGCCCTCACACAGACATGACATAACCTCACACGGACATTACAGACGGTCAAATGGACATTACAGACCCTCACACAGACATTAAAGACCCTCACACTGACATACGAGACCCTCACACGGACACACGAGACCCCCCACACAGACATTACAGACCCTCACACGGACATTACAGACCCTCATACAGACGTCACAGACCCTCACACAGACATTACAGACCCTCACACGGACATTACAGACCCTCAGACAGACATTACAGACCCTCACACTGAATTTACAGACCCCCACACGGACATACGAGGCCCCTCACACAGACATAACAGACCCTCACACGGACATTACAGACCCTCACACAGACATTACAGACCCTCACACGGACATTACAGACCCTCACACAGACATTAAAGACCCTCACACTGAATTTACAGACCCCCACACGGACATACGAGACCCCTCACACAGACATAACAGACCCTCACACGGACATTACAGACCCTCACACGGACATTACAGACCCTCACACAGACATTACAGACCCTCACACAGACATTACAGACCCTCACACTGAATTTACAGACCCCCACACGGACATACGAGACCCCTCACACAGACATAACAGACCCTCACACAGACATTACAGACCCTCACACAGACATTACAGACCCTCACACTGAATTTACAGACCCTCACACGGACATTACAGACCCTCACACAGACATTACAGACCCTCACACTGAATTTACAGACCCCCACACGGACATACGAGACCCCTCACACAGACATAACAGACCCTCACACGGACATTACAGACCCTCACACAGACATTACAGACCCTCACACGGACATACGAGACCCCTCACACAGACATTACAGGCCCTCACACAAACATAACAGACCCTCACACAGACATTACAGACCCTCACACAGAAATTACAGACCCTCACGCGGACATTACAGCCCCTCACACAGACATAACAGACCCCCACGAGGACATACGAGACCCCTCACACAGACATTACAGACCCCCACGAGGACATACGAGACCCCTCACACAGCATTACAGCCCCTCACACAGACATACGAGACCCCTCACATCGACATTACAGACCCTCACACAGACATTACAGACCCTCACACAGAAATTACAGACCCTCACGCGGACATTACAGACCCTCGCACAGACATAACAGGCCCTCACACAGACATAACAGGCCCTCACACAGACATAACAGACTCTCACACAGACATAACAGGCCCTCACACAGACATAACAGGCCCTCACACGGAAATAACAGACTCTCACACAGACATAACAGGCCCTCACACAGACATAACAGGCCCTCACACAGACATAACAGACCCTCACACGGACATAACAGACTCTCACACAGACATAACAGGCCCTCACACAGACATAACAGGCCCTCACACAGACATAACAGACCCTCACACAGACATTACAGACTCTCACACAGACATTACAGACCCTCACACAGACATAACAGGCCCTCACACGGACATTACAGACCCTCACACAGACATAACAGGCCCTCACACAGACATAACAGACTCTCACACAGACATTACAGGCCCTCACACGGACATAACAGACTCTCACACAGACATAACAGGCCCTCACACAGACATAACAGGCCCTCACACGGACATAACAGACTCTCACACAGACATAACAGACCCTCACACGGACATAACAGATCCTCACACTGACATAACAGATCCTCACACGGACATAACAGACCCTCACACTGACATTATAAACCTCAGAGTGTTCATTTGTATTGATCGTTAGGTCTCTTCAAACTTGAGGTTTTACTTGCGTAGAAAACCCGGGACTTACTGTTGAAGGGTGCTTGATTTTCATCGTTATTTATAAACCTATTCATTGGGATCGCTATTAAGTAAGAGTCCTGGGTATTTTATTAATATAACAACCGTTCAGATTCAGACAATGAGTGTACCACGAGGCTACAGAGGTGTTGATAAATCTCACTGGTTTTTAGAATGTCCTTTTCAAGATCCGTACGCCAGCAACAGATATTTTACGCGCGTTTCCTAAGGTTCATGGAAAATATGTTCGAAACATATAAATGTTGATAAATGTTGAAATAAGTTTCTTTTTTTCGGTTTATAAGTCAGATAAAACACTAATCCTCGGTTTTGGTTTAAATGTAAACCCGCCTGGTCGGAAAGATCTTCCCTCCCAGGCGGGTTTACATTTTCAACCGAAACCTGGGAACGTGTTTTATCCCACGGCTATATACACGGCTATATACACACCTGCCCCACAGCATGCCAGGTGCTCCGTCCTCTCCACCACGTTGCCAGCTAGACCTGTGCCTGGACAGCATGTTTGTGTGGAGATGTTGTACACAGCCCGGCCACAGCACTGTACATCAGGGTTTTCCTGCCCGATGTTCCACGGGTTGAGGTGAGGGACATTGTGCACCCTGTCTGATATACATAAATAAAAGTATTCATAAAGTATTGGTATATAATATAAACATATCTTTTGATGGACTAAAAGTATATTATTTTGTAAATGTATATTATACCTGCAGTCAGCGTGAACATGTGATGCACTTTTTATGTCATTTTCTATGTAGCTCATACTTCTTAAAAGAACCGAAAAATAAATGTGAAATGACTTTTTAAGCTACCAACCATAGTTCACAAACAAATTCCAAATTTGAAAAAGATATGTCCCAAATATGTCAAGCTGCTTTTCCCTTGCTGCTTCTCTGATGATTCTTGGGTATGTGCACTTACCAAGACAGCATTTGTGAGTGCGGAGACTGATGACTCGTCCTCCACACACTTGCTCCTGGAGATCCACAGCCACTTCCTTGCCGTTCATCCTATTGCACTGTTGGAGCCTCTGGTCTATCACCTTGATGCCGCAGCACTGGAAGTTTGGGCCGGACACGTGTTTCGTCACCTGGCTGGGGTTGTCCTCGGCATAGCAGCAGAGGGTTGTATGTCTGTTGACCAACTGACCTCCACAGCACTGCATGTCACCAGGGTTGGCTGGAGGAGGGAATAGGCACGCATTATCACACAGGCTTACACATGATCACACTGGCTTTCACATATGATCACACTATCTTACACGTTATCACACAGGCTTACACAGTATCACACGGGTTTACACATTATCACACAGGTTTACACATTATCACACGGGCTTACACATGATGACAGGCTTACACATGATCACACGGGCTTACACATGATTACACGGGCTTACACATGATCACACTGGCTTACACATTATCACATTGGCTTACACATTATCACATTGTCGTACACATTATCCAGGCTTACACAGTATCACACGGGTTTACACATTATCACACAGGTTTACACATTATCACACGGGCTTACACATGATGACACTGGCTTACATATGGTCACACCGGATTACACATGATCACATTGTCTTACACAGTATCACACTGTCTTACACATGATCACATGGGCTTACAGATGATCACACGGGCTTACACATGATCACATGGGCTTACAGATGATCACACGGGCTTACACATGATCACATTGGCGTACACATGATCACACGGGCTTACACATGATCAAACTGGATTACACATGATCACACGGGCTTACACATGATCACATGGGCTTACAGATGATCACACGGGCTTACACATGATCACATGGGCTTACAGATGATCACACGGGCTTACACATGATCACATTGGCGTACACATGATCACACGGGCTTACACATGATCAAACTGGATTACACATGATCACACGGGCTTACACATGATCACACGGGCTTACACATGATCACGTGGGCTTACATATGATCACACAGACTTACATATGATCACACAGGCTTACCCATGATCACACGTGATTACACGTGATCACACGGGCTTACACATGATCACACGGGCTTACACATGATCGTACTGGCTTACACATGATCACATTGGCGTACACATGATCGTACGGGCTTACACATGATCACACTGGTTTACACATGATCACACGGGCTTACATATGATCACGTGGGCTTACATATGATCACATAGGCTTACCCATGATCACACGGGCTTACACATGATCACACTGGCTTACACATGATCACACTGGCTTACACATAATCACATTGGACTAGACATGATCACACGGGCTTACACGTGATCACACGGGCTTACATATGATCACAGGGGCTTACACATGATCACACGGGCTTACACATGATCACACTGGTTTACACATGATCACGCTGGCTTACCCATGATCACACGGGCTTACACATGATCACGCTGGTTTACACATGATTACGCTGGCTTACACATGATCACACTGGCTTACACATGATCACGCTGGTTTACACAGTTTCACGCTGGCTTACACAAGATCACACAGGCTAACATATGATCACATAGGCTTACCCATGATCACACGGGCTTACACATTATCACATGGGCTTACACATGATCACATGGGCTTACACATGATCACACGGACACACTGGCTGACATAGGGTGTGGGTTGGGCACACATTGGCAACATTCAGGGCGAACACTATGTACCCTGTCACTGACACAGATATAGGTTCCACACAACTGTTAACTGTTGTTCCAGCTCAGAAAACCGTGGTATTTGTGCAGCAAGCTCATTTAGTTTCGGTTTTAGTAACCTTGATGTTCAGATGAGGTTTGACATCTTTACAGACCAACCCTAGCCAACTTCACTAATGTATGGGTTTCATTTTGAAATAACACAAGGTGCAACCATCCAAAATACTGGATGAAACACTCATACTATGTTTGACTGACTTCAGTGCAGATTGAATCATCCGGCAGCTGGGACTGGATGATTTTGTGTAAGATTTTTATCCTTTTAAATGTACATCCATCAAGTACCTAAAACTGACTATGTTTTCTAAATTTAGTGCAGTCTTTTTAAACATGATGACTTATGCTGAATGTGATAACAGTTATTCTACTTCGTCACACTGCAAAGGATGCTTCGCAAACTATCAAAACAATTATATAGGTGTCAGCAACAGCGTGGAGCCAAATTAATATTTCTCAGTGAGAAGTACAATAGATACATTCTACTATTGCCTACGATACCTCACCTGCTTTGGGGTACTCTGCAACTGTATTGTTACAGCAGGTGCTGTTGTTGAGAAGAATCGCCCTGTTGCCGCAACACGTGCGCTCGACTTCTCCACCAGACTCCATGATATACCTAGACATGACCCTCCCATCACAACAGATGTTGTACCTCGTGTAGAACACCCTCGTGTCTGGAACAGAGAGGCATTAATCCCAGTGTTGTTGTTATATCAACCGGCCCTTTACATATCTTGTTATGCAATTAATTTTGTCTTTTTCTTGTTTAATATCTGAATTCGTTCCCAGCCTTTCATTACATATGCGATTTGGACTTAAAATTGATTTTTTTAAATTCTTCTTCGATTTCGAAAACCACAAAATACGGTTAACAAGCCCAACCAGATGACAACGTGGAAGGATTGCAAGATGATATAGTATTTGTGAGTGAGCGTTGTAAATACTAACCATGGCCATAGCAGCAGCCCTTGTCTCCTTCCCTCACCAGCCTATGGTTACAACAGAAGTGACCAGCTGGTGTACGAACAAATTGTCCATCCACAAAGCACTCATAAATTTTTTCCCCGTCAACACGAGGCGCTGAAACACAAGCACGTCATACAGATGCTGATACTACTCCCACCCTCGATATCTTGTCTGAACTGTCCTACGGTACTCGAAGACATGCAAAATTTGGAACACGCGCACCCTCCCCCAGCTGTTGAGCTGGTTGACTTGTGTGAGATCGTACCCTGGCGACACGATAAGCCACATTTATATGTGGTCACAGCCTGCAGGAACCTGTGTAAGCTTTGTTTATTCACTCAGCGCCGATCTCGTTGCGAAAAAAATGTTCATGATGTACGTGATGCTGTGTGTCACTGTAAGCAACATAGGAGAAACTATGATCAATGTGAAAGATCGACCGCATTCAAAGCTTCGCGTGGAGACCGTATACATATTTCATTGGATGCATGGGGGTGTACACATGACGTGGACTTTTGATATATATAGTTATTTATGTATAGCATTGTCCTGGTTATACCAACACAGATATGTACGTGTTTTTACCTGTACTAAAAACTTTGCCAAGTAATGGTAATCTTGACAGCGATGTTAAACCCCATTTCCCGTCCGCTCACCTTGCTGTGTGATTCATGCTTTGTTCGTATTAAACAGGTGTCATCCGGACTCCTTAATCTGGATCATTTATATAACGTTCGATTTAGATAAACTGACACACGACCGTCGACAGGAGCAGTACTACCGAGCTCAATCATTGGACATCACCATAAACAATTACTAACTGTATTGTATTGACCTGTATGGTAATCATTGGACATCAGCATAAACAATTACTAACTGTATTGTATTGACCTGTATGTTAATCATTGGACATCAGCATAAACAATAACTAACTGTATTGTATTGACCTGTATGTTAATCATTGGACATCAGCATAAACAATTACTAACTGTATTGTATTGACCTGTATGTTAATCATTGGACATCAGCATAAACAATTACTAACTGTATTGAATTGACCTGTATGTTAATCATTGGACATCAGCATAAACAATTACTAACTGTATTGTATTGACCTGTATGTTAATCATTGGACATCAGCATAAACAATTACTAACTGTATTGTATTGACCTGTATGTTAATCATTGGACATCAGCATAAACAATTACTAACTGTATTGTATTGACCTGTATGTTAATCATTGGACATCAGCATAAACAATTACTAACTGTATTGTATTGACCTGTATGCTAATCATTGGACATCAGCATAAACAATTACTTACTGTATTGTATTGACCTGTATGTTAATCATTCACATACAACGAGACACTCATTTAGTTATTTAAAATACATATCATTCATCAGGTCGTTCAACTTAGACATCATGACATCAGGTTTTTGTTTGTTTATAAGTGTTATTGTTCCCAGAGTTGTAAAGTACAGCAGTATTCAGTCTGGACATATTTCACACTGCAATATATAATGACGCACTTAAAATGAAACGTAAAATGTAAACGTTTTGAAACAAAGTCAAATTTTAAACTTAAAAAGGTCATTTTTTTATGAAAGTTATTTAGGTCATCCTTTTTATAGCAATACATTTCTCAATTAAATATATGTTTTTAAGCAGTTTTAATCAGTTACATTAATTAAATACACAAATAATAGGTTTTAATATCAGTTAATATCGACCTCGGACATGGATACTGAAACATTGCATAGTAGGTTACAGGGACGCCCTCCGACAGTTGGTGTACATTGTAGATATAGACAGGGAAAGAGTTGAACTGTTCACATACCTGCAGTGTACATGAGAGCACACATGAATACGCTATATCTGCCATAGCTAACGCCTTTCTGTGGAGCAAACATGGTATTAGACAGCCTATGTCAGTCGTCGTTCAGATGTTGAAATGCTTTGCACTTTGAATTGTTCTGAATGACTATGGCGGGAAAAGCCGCCTTGTCAAAAATAGCTGTGACATAATTTCCAGTCAAAATCCCGTACATTTTCCATGTGACCTCCCTAATATACAAGCGGTATTTAATTATTATGCAATATAGTAAACGAATTATAATTAAGCAGTAAGGTATTTCGATTTTATTCCGATGTTTAAATGGTATACCGAGATTAAGATAGTACACATATCTGACGATACAGAGCAGGCCAGGCACCAGTAACAGGGACGAAGATGTTGCAATTGGTTTATGCGTCATTTAGATATTTCTACAGTTGATGATTGGGGAAATCCTGCTTCAGGTACCAGTGCTGGAGAAGACCCCACAACCATCACCTCCACGTCAGCTGTGCGGTAATGTGTGAAGTACAATAGATATGATGTGGTTACTGACAAGTCAACGGATGATGACGTCAATGGGGAACGTCCATTCCCCACGTAGTCATTTAATGGCCATCATACACCATACAGAATAATATGATGCAATAAGATAGCATGTAGTGTGTGTGTGTTTGTATATCCCCCCACGATATACGGAGTGAAATAGGGATGTCCGTCGATGTTCCACCGCGCTGCGGAGCGAGCCGTAAAATCTCCAGTATAGTATCACACACACACACACACACACACACACACACACACACACACACACACACACACACACAGAGGGCGAGGTATGGCAAGGGCCTTTGCCCCACAAGATCTGCAGAAGTTGCGAAATGAGGAAACCCTATAGAAATTGTTATGAAACTTAGCAGAAATGTTCATTTGAAGTGGAGTTAGACTTTGTTCATTTCAACACTTGCTTGCATGGGTGGGACGTATGGGATCCTTAAGAGTGTATAGGTAGGGATAAAATGTGTCAAAATGTTTTATATATTTTAAAGGTTTTCAGGAACGGCATTGTCTGATTTTTTTTAGGAGATATATAGGAAAAATATAATAATAATCATGTCCAACACTTGCAAGCGTAGGAAAGAAAAATATGTAAGTTGTCATAAACCTGTCAATTAAAAACATATTGAGAACAGATTGCCGTCATAACTGATTTTAATTCTTTTTATATAAGTTTTATAAATCTCATTAAACGTCACTAGCCGTAATGTATAATTAAGAATGTACTTGAATACATTTTGCCTTTAAGGAGATATAACCGTACATACCGGTGTGCACACGTCTTAAAAACCTAAATACATCAACAATAATAATTTCTCAGACTGATTATTTAATCGTTGAAAAACAAATGTAGACGATGACATGTAATCAGTGACATCGTTCGTCGCAATAATGCTACAAAGCCTACGAAAGTTGTTAGTTGTTTTATTTAAAAAAAAGAATGCGAAACTATAACATCTAGAACCCAGTATTTGTCCTTTCTCTCAACACGGATCCTTAATACATTCGGCCGTGACGTCAAGACCTCCTTTATCTGCCCTTCTCTCAACACTAACATGTAATACACTCGGCCGTGACGTCAAACATTGGCCGGGGCGGTCGGGTAGCCTAGTGGTTAAAGCGTTCGCTCGTCACGCCGAAGACCCGGGTTCGATTCCCGACATGGGTCCAATGTGTGAAGCCCATTTCTGGTGTTCCCCGCCGTGATATTGCTGGAATATTGCTAAAAGCGGCGTAAAACCATACTCACTCACTCACTCAAACATTGGCCAAACATTGTATGACGCAAGCTCCGACGTTCATACAGTTTGGCCCTCACTCTATGAAGGTTCGTACTTCCAGTGAACTCACACAGTGAAGTCAATTCTTGAATACAGTCGGCCGTAACGTCAAGCTGCTTTTAACCAAAACAGTGATATCGATATATGTAGTTATTGCTGACGCGGATTTCGGTTATAACACACTGCTTTTAGATTATAAAACACTAAAAGATATGCCAATCATACTCACCCATTACAGCAGCGCACAGTGCTATATAAATCCACATGACTTGACTGTCGAAGTAATGGAAAGTCGTCACATCTGATACATCTAACATTGCAGCGCCATGCACGTCCGACCCTGTCTTATCCTGTGACGGTAATACGACTTCACAGCGACGACGTCGGTGTATATTGATTGACAAGGGGTAGTTCCCAGAAAATATGCTCACAATGGAATTCCTGTCTTATTTTAGTTCTGGGTTTGTACATTTTACTTTCTGTTGCACAAGTGTGTCTGAAGTTAGGATCGCCATGTATAGCGCAAATATGAACAAGGGTAGTTCACCCACAAGGGGCACGTTACAGCGGGTGCACCGAGGCCCCATTAGATTATTAACTTTCTTTCTAAAACGTTTTTTTAGGAAACTGGAGCATCACGATTAAACATATAAATAACACATTTATCCACTATCTTATGTTAATATATCTTGAAAGGAGAGGCCACAAAAAGATGGTGCTATTCAGAAGGCCGCAAAATGGATGGGTTGAGGCCCTGCCAGCCATCATGGGTGTACGCAGCATTAGCACTCCCTGATAAAATAACAGAATGATGATACAACACGCTGTAACACGTGCCTAAATTAAACCCATATGAAACACTGATGAATGTTGCTTATGTTATGACAGAGTTGTCACATGCTGACGTTCTGAAGATTGCAATGTTCCAGCTGACAACCGGATTCAGTGCACTCACCTATGATGGACTTAATGTTCATTTATAATCAGTTGTAAGAAAGTCATACAACAAAGATGAGAAGTGAGTGAGCATTCTGTCATTCAGCGCCGCTTGTCCAGATTTACAGTTAATGGCGTGAGAAGAATGACAAAGTGATCAAAATCGTCCATGTTTACCACACAGACAAAACAAACGAGCAATGTCACTAAAATCAGATTTTTAAATCGGACACGACAGCTCTCTTGTGAAAGATCTAAATTTGATGACATTGGAAAACGAGCACACGCATGGTGAATCAGGGCGCATCTAAGATTCGAACCATGCACGAACCGCGAGTTGCTGTGACCTGTGGACTACCTGTCCCCTGATTCCAATCAAAGAACAAAGCTTGTCGATATACCGACAACAACATCAATGGTGTAATTAATAGTGTTTAATACACGAGTGTCTGTCAGATACTATTTATCTTACAACGAATTGCTTCAAAACGTATCTAACGAGCGACAGCGAGTTGTGAGATAAATGTTATATGAGAGTCGCGAGTGCAGTAATCTGTTTCTTACCCGAAAATCACACCACTCGACGCTTTTTATTTATGCTCATTTTCGCAGTGGCTCATTAATACATAACACACACGGTCATGCGGACGCTGAGGTACCCTGGCGCTTAAAGCGTTGTCTCGTCACGCCGAAGACCGGGTTCGATTCCCCACATGGGTACAATGTGTGAAGCCCATTTTCCGGTGTTCCTTGCCGTGATATTGCTTGAATATTGCTGAAATCGGCGTAAAACCATACTCACTCACTAACTCACTCACTCACAACTGTCACGAGTGACGTGATCCGACTTACAACTACTCACAACTAATGTGACCCTACACTAAAAGGTTACCGCCATATCTGTGGATTATCAAGAAGAGGAATTTTCCCCTCAACGAAATTACTAAATACGTATTAAGTATCTGTTAAGTATTAATGCACCACTGCATCACGAGAATAAAAAAAATGCATTGATTCGATGCTAAAGTGATGCGATATAAGGTGTATAAGAAACAGTAAAGCCCGCGTGCCTGTCAGATACCGTTTATCTTACAACAAGTTGGTTTAATACGTATCTTACGAGCGAAAGCGAGTCATTAGTGACGTTAAACATTATTTCGCTCGTTAGATACGTTTCGAAACAACTAGTTGTAAGATAAATGTAAGATAAATGGTATCTGGCAGGTACGCGTGTAGTAGTCTCTGTTGATAACACGCGACCTGCATCATCTCACTACCAGTCCCATAGCCATACAGCGTCTTCTGACAGGTGAAGATCCGGGTTAAAATTGGTCCTTTTATTTAGCATCTGCACTGACTGTTAACCAAACCCTCAGCAACTGCACTCTTTACCAAACCTTCATGATCCAATTGCGTAGATAGATGCCCATGATGTCAATCACTTGACATCATGAGCATAGATCTACGCATTTGGTCCAGACTTGATTATTTACAATGTTCCTCATAATAAACAAATTGCCATCCATAAAGTATCTTTCTTCGAACCTATATGTTCGCAATATATCATTAGCAGAGACAGTGGAGTACTTCAGCCACACTAAGGTGTGGTCCATCGATGCCTCTCCAGGAACGTAAATACTATTATTGTACTCACACATATACCGAAGATGAATGCCATTTCCTTACTACATGCTCTTTTTATTCAGGTATTAGATATGGTGTGTGTACGACAGCCAGCATATTAAATCCATCATTCCCAAAATTATGTGTGATGCAATCTGGGCCTCTGGCCGCTCTTGCATATCGGTCACTGTATACCATTCATGTTTCATCGTAGAATTCGTGCACGGTTGTAGTTATTAAATAAGCGTTTAACTTAACATATTGTGATATTTTTAGGTATCGCTAACTCCAAAATAAAACAAATTTAAATATGTAAAAATCGTGTCTCATATGCCTTTTGGTATTAATATAAGCTGTCCTGCAATATATGACACGCACATATAATAAACTCCCTCTTCTGTTATACAGACAAGTGTGAAGGAATAGCTAAGACTGTTATGAATAGGTGATACGTGTGGGTCAACACAGCGCGTCAGTCCACGTCATGCAGATGCCGAAGATTCGCACAGGGAGAACACAAAACACCTGACGTGGAAGTGCTTTTCACCGCGGAAACCCCGGAAACCCGACAGCGTAGTGTTGGCCCTGCCTGCGCAAATATATGATTCGTTATTAAATATATCCTATTCGTATTTCTGTGTTTCTATAGTCTGGTTATTCCTTAGCTTTGGGGAACATCAGAATGTTACATGCAGGCACTATTTTTGGAAGCTGACACGAATGTGCTACTTTATTCATTTACATGCATTTCACAAAGGC